GAACAACTTGATGAAGACTCACCAAGAATGTGCCAATTTGGTGCCCTTTGCTCCCTGCAGGGACGGCTTCAATTGCTTCTGTCTTCAGAGCAGTTTATAACTGGATTAATTCGGATAATGAAACATGAGAACGAGAATGCATACATGGTGAATGAGGAGAAAGCAATAAGGTTATGCAAAGCACTGTGTGAGGGCTTAAAGGTGTCTTGCTTTGAGAAACTACAGACTACATTGCGAGTGAAAGGCTGCAGCCCAATTCTCCACAGCCGTAGTGAAACTCTTGCCTTTCTTAAAAGATACGGGACAGCCGTTATCCACCTCTACATTCAGCATTCTGACAGCAAAGACATTAATTTTCTTCTTGCCTTGGCAATGACCCTCAAGTCAGCTACAGACAACCTGATTTCTGACACCTCCTATCTTATTGCTATGTTGGGTTGCAATGACATCTACAGAATAACAGAGAAGCTAGACAACCTGGGTGTCAAGTATGACACAACTGAACCCTCAAAGCTGGAACTTCCATTACCTGGTACACCCATACCTGCTGAGATTCATCATTTACTGCTCATGGACCCCATGAACGTCTTTTATCCTGGAGAGTATGTTGGTTACCTGGTAGATTCAGAGGGAGGTGATATTTTAGGCACTTACCAGCCAACTTACACATATGCTATCATCGTTCAAGAAGTGGAACGAGAAGAGGAGGAAAGTGTCCTCGGCAAGTGCTTTCAAATTGACATTGGGTACAGTGAGTACAAAATTGTGAGCTCTCTTGATCTGTATAAATTTTCTAGACAGGATGATACCACCAATAATCGAGATGGCACGCCAACTCCAACAAGCCCCTCGGAGGGTCATTCCCCTCGTTCCAGAATGGTCCCACCATTATTTCCTGGAAAGGAAAATCACAGGGCTCCTCCAACAAAGGCGTCCCCCAAAAAGATAAAACTCAATGCATTACCAGAAATTCTAAAAGAAGTTACTTCAGTAATAGAACAAGCTTGGAAACTTTCTGAAACTGAACGCAAGAAGATTATCCGGCGCTTATACTTGAAGTGGCACCCTGACAAAAATGCAGAGAATCTTGACATCGCAACAGAAGTCTTTAAACACCTACAGAATGAGATCAACAGGATGGAGAAGCAAACCCAAGCAGAGCAGACGACTGATAGAGGATCAAGGAGACCTTACTCTTCATCTTCCACACGATTCCAGTCAGAGAAATTCTCATTTCAGCGATTTTACACATCATGGAACCAAGAAGCAACAAGCCATAAGTCGGAAAAACACCAGTTCCGAGGACAGTTTACTAGCTATTCAGGCACATCCCACTCAAATCGCTTCTTTGTACCACCATCGTTCAAGTCTGTTGGTAACCCTGTGGAGGCACGGCGGTGGTTAAGGCAAGCAAGAGCCAATTTTTCTGCTGCAAGAAATGACCTTCATAAAAATGCCAATGAATGGGTATGTTTCAAATGCTACCTGGCAACAAAGCTTGCATTAATTGCAGCAGATTATGCAGTCAGAGGAAAGTCAGACAAAGATGTGAAGCCCACAGCACTTGCCCAGAAGGTGGAGGAATACAACTCCCAGCTGACAGGGTTGGCCAAGGACGTAAATATCCTGGAAGGTTATGGCGTGGACAGCCTGAGAACTCGCTACCCTGACCTATTGCCCTTCCCTCAGATTCCCAATGACAGGTATACTTCGGAAGTAGCAATGAGAGTAATGGAATGTACAGCTCGGATAATCATCAAACTTGAGACATTTGTCCAGCAAAAAATCTGAATGTCAGCATTAGACAATGCAAAACACTGACAGATGAATCAACAAAGCAGTGGCTGTGCAATATAGACCAGGAAATATTGTAATAGTTATAACAGACTTTTTAAAAGTAAAATTATATATCTTGCTGGCATTTTTATTTGAACAGTGCCACCTCTGATGCTGTGACCCATGCTTATTATCGCGTAGATTTGCTCCATTTCTCTGAAAGGTTGTCTGAGCCCCAAAAATAGTGTACACTGTTATATTTAACATGCAGAGGTGTACATAATGTTCAAAAGCATAGAAATACCTTTTTATTATTTTAACTACATTTATTGATTATTGTTGTTCCTTTGTACATAATGAATACCGATGCTGCTTTTTTTTTATCTTTTCTAGAAATGTATTTTCCTGCCATAGTCATTAAGTTGATGGTATTGTGATTTATTAGCATGAGTTGCACTGCACTTTCATGTAAATAGCTCTTGAGTGATTGTAGGAATTTGAGTGAATGACACATGAAAAATTATCATGTGCAATCAAGCAATGTCAGGTCAGTCAGCTCACGGTTCATTTATGGGATCTTTATCAGTGCCAGTAATTCATATATTGTGCATACAACTTTTTCTCAGCTGATAATTGACATTCAATGATAATTGACATTTCAATCTAAGTGTGATATTGATATCAGTGCATAACCTAGACATCGTAAGATATAATATGACTGTAGGTTCATTCAGTAAGTGTTTACCTGATGGAATTGTCTGTCTTGTTGCAAGATTTATAGAATGCAAAAATGAAATGTATTCCATAACTTCACAATCACCTTTATCTCAACTGAACTATACATATGCATACATCGTTGGCTAGGGGAGCAACGGAACACTTTTTTATTTCCCATACGACGATATGGGTGGGTTTAGTTTCAGCACAAAAAAAAAAGGTACCATTTAAAAAAAAAATAGAGACATTCAAAATTACATTTTCTCTTGAAACTTAACATTTCAATTACCTGCTGTGGCTGTACACATACATCATGCATATTTCCTCAGAATTATGTTGATTAAATATGTATTTTCTATTATTTACAATGGGAACCTCTACTGATGAGAATTGTTTGCATGAAGTTCTCTGAAATTTGTCTAAGAGGAACATACTGTAGATGCTCATATGGTGCTCAATGTCAATGATGTTTTTCATCCATTTCCTTTGTTTAACTGTGAGAAAGACTGAAATTAAACACTGGCTCCTATGTTTTGACAAATAGTCATTTGTCTCAGTCTCAGTATTTCATATTACAGCTTTGTTTGAGACCCACTAACATTGTGAATATATTTAACATGTTCAATAAGCAAGATATATTATTTAAGTGCTATATCTCATAAAGTATGCACACATACTTAAAAAAAAAACTATCCTGCATTAAGTAAATCTGCTTTTCATACAAGTAATAGTGTCAAGTAATAATAATATATTTTCAAAATACAACATATAGTTTTTTTTATATATTTATTGGACATAAGAAATTCTAAGTTTCATGATTTCTTTGGTTAGTTTGAATGAAATTACATTTCAAACATTGAAACATTTCAGCTAATTTACATGTCCATGCACGTTTGATCAGTATGGCAATGATTCACTTGAAATATGTAAATCTAAAAATGAAAGTTTACCTGTTTGAAAAAAATACATCAATAAAAGTATAATATACAACTGATGTATAAATCGGAAGATCCCCTGTCAAAATATATATATACAAATTATCACTCTCACAATTTTCATACAGTACATACACAAAACAGTCCTGGAAAAAAGAAACACAAATCCCAATGTTTCAAGCTGCCATAGGGATTATTTAGCATTCTTGATAACTAAATAACAGAGATGCCAAATTTAATATCAAACCATTGCGTATAAAATTCAAAATCCAAGAGCACTTTGTATCTTACAACCCAGACCAGAGAATTAAATCTGATAATATTACAATGCTTTATCGAAGTGGGATTTGGGATTGCGGGTAGTGTAGTTCTTGAGTGGGAATTTTACTATTTTACAAACATGTTGAAATCAAACTGACTACAGAAGCATACAGTAAATCATCACCCTCGGAGGAGCTCAAGGCACGACCAGATCAATGTTTTATGTTATCAATTTACCTATTAACGAATGCATCTCTAAACAATAGCTGATATTCAACACACAGAATTTGGTTATTTATTGCACCTCAAAATTATATTGCATAGGATGTCAGCTGTTGACCAGCCCCTTTATTGCCCAGCCTAATTTAGAAAAATTTTACATAACAGAAAAAAAAGACAATCATTTTGTTTCAAACTATATACCAACTCAATCTCATGAGAAAATTTAACTATTTTAAGAGGTGGTGATTTTGCATGAATTACTACAACATGATTTGTATGGAACCATGTTTTGTTTTTTACGAAGGACCACCCTTAAACCTACAAGTCAGTGGGTGCAAGCAGATCGTACGGAAACATACAAATGAGATCATATGGATTCATGCGAATTAACCACCAAACGTAAAACAGTTATGAATTGCTATGAGAGTGTTTTGTCTATACTACACATTTCATTTTCCCTATCATGATGAAACCCCAACCAAACAGATAAACGTACCCTCTAGGCCAGGCTTGGGCAACTCAGGTCCTAGAGATCCACCGTCCTGCAGAGTTTTGCTCCAACCCTAATCACACACAACTGAACAAGCTAATCATCATCTTCAGGTCCTACTAGAAAGTTGTAAGCAAAGTGGATCTCACCTCCCTATAACTTTCTAGTAGGACTTAAAGACCTCGATTAGCTTGTTTGGTTGTGTTTGATTAGGGTTGGAGCAAAACTCTACAGAAAAATGGATCTCTAAAGGGCCAGAGTTGCCCATTCACTGCTAAAATTCAGTAACAATTGTTCCCAACCCTGTTCCTAGAGTGTCCTCAACACTGCACGCAAGTAAAGACTCAAGTTACATGCATCCTGTCGCCATTTAAACTGCTCTGTCAGTCATCTTGTCACAGTTCAAATCCTCCATATTCAATTTCCTACTGCATCAGTGAGTAATGTATTAGCATGTTGTGGATCTCTCATGTGGAGAACACTTCTTGTGTTTGCATAACGATGCATTTAAAAAATAATGACCAAGCGTATCTTCAAAGTTCATACTGCAGTTGCAGATGAAATATAATAATGAATAAATATATTTTTTGTCAGGTTACATACTGAAATAATCATATAAAACCCTCTAAAATTTCTAAACCTCTCTACTTAACCATTGGACTCGCACACCGCCATGTTTGTAGTTTAACTTTTTTTAGTTTTGCTTGTCTAATTGAATCCTCGCCCAACATGCAATGGGTTGTGGGCGATATTAGCCATTAAGAGTTTACACGGATCTGCACTTCAGACTCTAACCGGAAAAAGTAGACCATCCTTGGAATCCTCATTTCATCATACTATGATTTGGGACAAATTCATTCTAATTTCAAATACTATTTAGGACGCAAATTTGGATGCAGAACAAGACGTCAGATGAGTGTTTCAGATAAGAGAGACATAAACGTCCAGTGTTGGTGGAAATCCAGGAGCAGGGTTGGGAACAACTGTTCAGTAACATAATACATTTTGTAACTAAATTAGTGTGGCTTTTTTTTTTACCTTGCTCAGAGACAAATCCTTGTTTCTATTGGAGATTTGTTACTACTGTTTATGTTACAGACAGAAGCTCATTCAGCAGTCCTGGTGCTCGCTGCAGGTCGAGGAGACACCAGCTCTGGAGAGGAACAGCTTACCGCTGGGACAAACACACACCTCAAACATGTCGTACATTCCCTGAGAATCACCTGAAGTCCGGGCTTCTCCCACTGGTAATGTCGGCAGACGAACAGATTCAGCATCTAAGATCAGCTGAAACATACAGAAACCCCAATAATGAGGCATTCAATTAAATAAGGATTAACCCTTCATATTCACTTTGGGTTAAATACAGTTCATTTAAAGGGTTGGGCTAAAGTGGCCACGGACTCAGCATCTCCGGTTGTCATTTCATCAGCAGGGAACAGACCAGAAAAAGGTCAGGGAAAGAGATTTGGTGCCTCTTTTAGATGGCACCACAATACAGCGTTCACTTGCATAGTGCATGTTTCTGGATGGCACGCAAGTCTGAAGTAATGAGTTTGGGTAAAAGGGAGCAGAGCCAGTGGTTGTTCTGCAGGCAAAATCAGTGACTTGAGTTTAAAGGAGTAGTTCACTTTCAAAAAAAAAACTTTTGCTGATAATTTACTCAACCCCATGTCATCCACACTATCCATGTCTTTCTTTCTTCAGTCGAAAAGAAATTAATGTTTTTGATGAAAAAATTACAGGATATTTCTCCATATAATGGACTTCAATGGACCCCAACCGGTTCAAGGTCCAAATGAGAGTTTCAGTGCAGCTTCAAAGGGCTTTAAACGACACCAGACGATGAATAAGGGTCTTATCTAGCGAAACGATCGCTCATTTCAAAAATACAATAAAAAGTTTAAGTTTTAAAAGCACAAATGCTCGCCTTGCTCTGTTCTGTGATGCACGTTCGTGACTCTCCTGTTCAAACAAATCTTTTTCAGTTTCTTTTTGACTGAAGAAAGAAAGACATGGACATCTTGGATGACATGGGGGTGAGTAAATTATCAGCAAAAGTTTTTTTAAAAGCGAACTACTCCTTTAATGCGAGCGGCAACTGGTAACCAGTGCAATTTTGTGAGGAGAGGAGTGACGTGTGCTCCCTCGGCTTGTTAAAGACCGTCTGGATAGAACAAATTAGCCTTGATCTTTTGACATATCCTGCAAGTTTCATTGTTTCTAATACTGTAGATATCGAAACAACATTATACACAAAATATAACCCATGGTGAACTCGTTCGTTTAAATAAGAGTAGGGAATATTTAAATTTCACTCTTTAAAAACAAGGTTGTTCATTTTTGTGCATGATATGTACATTTATGTCCCATCTCAAGCTAGTCTATTGTCAGCTCAAGCTCATATCTGTCATGTGTCGACAACATAGAATCTGGCCCCTTTTTTGGAAACCTCAGGGTTTCATGAACCTCAAGGATCATATTTCACAGTACTACAAAAATGAATGTCAATACCTCTTTAAATACAACTAATACTGTGCTATCATTAACAACCATTTTAGAAGAAAATAAGGAAGAATAAACACAAGACTTTTGCTAAAGTCTACTGTTTATCCGAAGAAGACGACACAAGTAGTCTCACATGTGTTCAGACTGTGCTCAGATTTGCTAAAACACGAATGTTGCTAAATAACAACAATACAAAGTCCTCAAATTCTTTCAAAACCAAATTATATGAGTTACGCTAGATCAGGCAAAGGTGAGTAGCTCCATCCCTCATTAAACACACATGAAAAATCTAACAAAAGTCTTCTGGATTCCTTGAAAATCACAGACAGGTGTGCTTACCAGTCCTGCAGTTGAGTGTAGCAGAATGTCAAAATGTGCCGTCACGTCGGCGTTTCCAGCCAAGGCTTTGACGTGAACGCCTTTTGGGGCATCCATGCTGAGAGAGCGTGTTGGAGACTCCAGTCTTAAATGACAGGGGAATGCATTGAGTTACAATGCATTGTTTAGACACAAGATGGCCACAAAATACTCTCAAATTCATACATGGAAACGGAAGGAAACTGCATTATATTTAGGCCTATTTGGGAAAGTCATTTTTGGAGAAAACAAGAATTAAGCTTTTGTTGACAACCAGATGCCTTCGTGACTCTTAGACTTCAAAGATCACAGCTGGTTAATGCCCTGTTGGAAACTTCTATAAAAGTTATACTCAGTACCATTACTTTTAATAGGCTGACATTTGTAAGCAATAATGTTTTTAAAGGGGGTTGAGATACAAAAATATCACAGCATATGCAAAGACAAAATTGGAGCAAATTATAAAAACCTAAGTTAAAGTAAGCTAGTTAGTTTTAGTTTATAAGCTAAATAAGTTTAACGACCAAAATCCTTTATTTTTTACAGTAATGGCAATGAGTATGGGAAGAAATGATGTTATGAATTATGTAGTCTATGCTTACTTTAGCTCTTTGTTGAGGACTGCTTTGACCAGAGGAGTCCTAACCGAATGCTCAAAGAAAGCACCTTCTGGACCTGTCCAAACACAAGAAAACTTACAATCAGACAAAGAAAGTCTACAGATCACTCAGTAACAGATGTGACATTTCATTACAGCAAATAATCACATCATTGCAATTTTTAAAGGGTTAGTTCACCCAAAAATGAAAATAGGCTCTATGCACGAACCCTGCTGACGTGTGTCCGAAAAAATCTCAGTCAGCTTCTTTACTTCAAAGTAAAGTGTATAGCGGCAAAACTTTAATAAAATCCGTTTTCTCAGAAATGGAGACAACGATTTTAGAAACGCTGATTCGCTAGTTGGATTTCGTACGATATGCGAGAATACTAACCTTCAAAGTTGTTGATGTAGCTCGAAATATATAATTTAAATAACTTCTCGGTTTTACTCTTCTGTGACAGCTAACTGGCTCACAGTGTTGTTAACATCATTCACGGACGTTTTTATAAACAGCAAGTGTAATTTGACACTATCTCCACCTTACGCAAAACCGGCTTCTGACGCAGCACCGGATGTAACTGGGCGTGCTGAGACAAACCCATAGAGGCTATTCTGTCAGTATTTACTCACCCTCATGTTGTTCCAACCCCGTAAGACTTTCGTTCATCTTCAGAACACAAATTAAGATATTTTTGATGAACTCTGAGAGCTGGATCACTCCTCCACACTAGTCCATAGGCTTCTAAGGGATTGAAACTTGCCGGCCCGAAAAGTTATTAAAGACATCGTTAAAATAGTCCAAGTGACTACAGTGACTCAATCTTAACTTTATCAAGTGACAAGAACACTTTTTGAGCGCAAAAACAAACATAAATAACAACTTTATTTCAAATATTCATGTCCTTCTCTTTGGGCCTCTAGTCGGTTAAACTAGTGTAATTGCGTAGAGCTACGTCACACGTAGGCTCACTATTATAGACCGACACTGGTCATGTGTGTGATGCGTGTGACGTACAACAACAGATCATACGCTGTTAAACTAGTAACCTGACTCGAGACCCAGAGAGAAGGAAATGAATAGTTGAAATAATGTCGTTATTTTTGTTTGTTTTGCACACAAAAAGTATTCTCTTGATAAATTTAGGATTGAGCCACTGTAGTCACTTGGACTATTTTAACGATTTGCCTTATTTGCCTTATACTATTTTAACGATTTTGCCTTATTTGCCTATTTAACTAATTTGTGTTCCCTTAGATGAACAAAGGTCTTAAGGGGTTGGAACAGCATGAGGGTGAGTAAATACAGACAGAATTTTAATTTTTGGGTGAACCAACCCTTTAACATAATACAGATTATGAAATTGGACCTGAAATGTCCGGATCATTATTTCAGCATAATATATATATATATATATATATATATATATATATTGTACCATTACTTTTCTGCATTGGGAAATTTTTTCAATAAAATCCAATCCAATTATTTTTCAGTCAAAATCAGCATATATTTAAGATGTGGAACAAATACTACATTCATGCGTAAGCAATGTACAATTGAAATAATAATAACATCTTTTTTTTCAAATCATAGTAATGAGACTTGACATGGAAATTTGCTACATGTGTCATAAAAATGTCAATAATAGAAAATAACAAAAAAAAAAGTCCTGACACAGCGTTCATTCTTAAAATAAAATATAATTTCTTCTTTTGACTCCGGGGTGAAATAAGATTTAAAGAATGGTCTTGGCAAGATTTAAGAAATTCACCTAAGCATAACCAAAATCGAAATAGCTAGAGGCTAGTTTGGATGAAGTATTAATATTTAATCTAGTGTGTAAACCCATTGTGAATCATGAAATAGTGGATGTGTGTTGTTAAGGCCAGAGCTGTTGTTTGCGAAATCTCAGTTTTAACCACTGTGTTAAAGCGACTGTTTCATACGTTAAATACTAACTTAGCTCTTCAAACATTTTAATGAATATGTGCAGTAACATAAAGTGCAACAGTACTTTTTTATCATTATAACAATACTATTAATACACACACGCAGATTATCTTTTTTTTGTTTTTTATTGTACATTATGCATGTCTAGTTTCAGACTCACCTGTTACACGGAGCTTTCCTTTTCCCACAACAGCTCCATTTCTATCTGCATAAAACACATTTTCATCATGGTTTGAACTGATGTTGAAGTGTTGGCCAAAGCCCTCAGCCTGACTGGGACCTGCAAACAGAATAAAGGAGAGAATGTAGACAAACATCACACTTTCTACCAAAAGAAAGACATTTAGTTTCATTAAATGTCTAATTTCACTCTGAAATATGTCACATTATTAAATTATAATGGCTTGTTTCATGTTGTGGCTGTCCTATTAGACATGAGGCATGTTCTGTGTGACCCACATTAAACAAAATCATGAACTCAACTAATAAATATATATCATGCATATACCCAGACAGCAACATAGTGTCGGCCCAGATCCGGCCCACATCCACCGGATGTTGGCCTACACTATGTTGCTGTCTGGCTATGATGTATAACCAATAATACATTTTTTATGTCTCATACCTACGGACACACTTCCTGTGACGTCACCATTGGCATTGCGGGCATTGAGCATCACATTCTCAGAGGAGTGCACCAGAAGAGATGAATCCTGTTATGAAGAGAAGAATGAGCAAAATGGGTGACTAAATCTCACTCACTATCTATCTATCTATCTATCTATCTATCTATCTATCTATCTATCTATCTATCTATCTATCTATCTATCTATCTATCTATCTATCTATCTATCTATCTATCTATCTATCTATCTATCTATCGTTACCTCTCTGGAGTGGATTTCCTGGGCATAAAGAGGAAACAGAAAGTCTGATTCTCCCTCCAGTCTCAGCCCATCTGCATTGACTTGCAGGTATCCCATGCCTTCCTGAAACAGTCAATAACACAAAGAGCTCTCAACATTCGTGTGACTTCATGCAACATCACCACTGAACATGCTCATCGAAATATTTAGGAATCCAAATATGGATTAATATTTCTATTAAAGTCAATCAAATATGTGATCTAAAGTGCTTTGAGTAAAGTCATCTTACTGTATTGAACCACATAACTCGCAGGATCCAGATCGTAAGGGCAAAGTTCACCACCAGGATGATCAGGAGAAGCAGAACAAACAGATAGAGGCAGCGTTTCCTCCAGCCGTAGATGCCGATCATGTAGATGTACTCTGAGACTGAAGCCAGGGTCCCAGAGTCATCTGTGGTGGTGACGTACTGCTCACGCACCATCTGACAATCAACATTAGTGTTTAACTCATTAGTCAAGACTCACTCTAATCGAATAATACCTCATGCAACTCTATCAAAACTTAAAACAATTCATAAAAGTATGCGTGAAATATTTACAACCTGGACTAACATACTTTGTTATTAAAAATTGACACACCATAATTTTTGTTCTGGATGTATTTCAAACATAATATGATTATGATTTTTCAAATATTAATAAGCATTGAGGCAGTTTTGTTACAAAACTTTTTCATTCGCTTAATACTAGGTGTAAATGAGGTCTTTGCCAAGTATGCTTTAAAAGACTTGATATACTAAGAACACTCATAATACTTATGAAAGGGGCAAACGCAATTTTCAACATAAGTGTGCCTTCTAAATAAAATAAAACTTTCAGCATAATTACTCCACATTACTCTAATATGCTGATTTGCTGCTGAAGAAACATTTATATCAATGTTAAAAACAGTTTTAGGAAACTTTCAGGATTCTTTGTTGAATAGAAAGTTTAAAAGAACAAGAATATTTTGCAACATTATAAACGTATTTACTACTACCTTTTAAATGTAATGCAGCAGTTTTTTGTTTTGTTTTTTCAAAAAACGAAAATCTTATTCTTAAAACCATATTGGCATACATAACATACTTGTAACCAGCATAGCATCAGCCTCACATTTATTTGATAAAATGTAAATCTCGTTATTCTATATGCTGTTTTCTGTCAAAAAAGTGATCTTTGAGATTTTGTCAGAAGTAAGTGTAGCGCAGCATTTACTTTAAATCAGATGAAGGAAAAACTAAAACAGCCTTCATGTCTCCCCATGGCAATTCATCCAAACATTCCTTGAGTTTGGTTTTGCATGATCCAATTTCTTTCTACTCCCATTACCAGCCAGAAATTAAACATTTATATATGATATCAATGGTTGCAGAGGATCATTAAAGTCCTGTAAGAAAGTAAACATCTTGACTCCACAAGTTGCTCACAGACAGCCTCTCTCGGTCTCTCCCTCAGGACTTTTTTCCATGATCCCACCCTACTGATGCTCTTTCACTGTTTCCAGCCTCATCTAAGTTGCCAAGAGGAGAAACTCTGCCTTTCCAAACCACCGGAGTCTGACTTTGTTTTAAACCGAGATTCCAAGATCCTCGTGGTGTCAAAGCCGGACCTGATCAAATATGGTGCGAATCCAGTAAGATTGAGCAGGCGTGGTATTGCGCTGTGTCTGTGTGGAGTTCTGCTGGAGGATAAACAGTTATGAGGTGGGAAAACCAGTTCTCTGAGGAGCCCAGATAAGAGCTTGCGGAGAGAGGCTGTGGGCAAACATAACAAGCTGTATGAAGTTCTCCCCACTCAGTCTAATCTTGCAGTCTGCATAACTCCAGCGCGCCGTAATGCCTCGGCCCTCTAAAAATAGGTCCCAGGACTGTGCTCTCGTTTTAAAAGGGGAAAAACAGCCAAAGTGTTGGAAATAATGATTAGAGCGCAAACATTATGACTGAGAAAGTCTAAATAAGTCTTAATTTAATAGGCTGATGTTATGATTTAGACCACATGACAAACAAGGGATAAAGATACAATGCTGTGCAAAAGTAAGTGCACCCCATTAAAAAGTATTTTTTAAACATGTGTGGCCATTTTGATAAAGACATGGATAACATTAATGAGTAAAGATGGTATAATGTAACACAGAATGGCCATTGTTTTGACAAAATACTGTTAAATTGAGTATATAAACAGGTTTAATTTTGTCATTTCATTCATTTCTCTAACAATTCCACATATTCTGGCCATTCAAACATTATTAGTGTTGAGAAACAAGAAATATATTTTAAAAGATCAAGTCATGAGTCAAACTTGATTGAAAGAAAAAGAGTCGAATTTAAAGCGTGACTTACCCTTGCTGTTTTAGTGTGACCGGACACACTCCTCTGCAGGCTCAAATCTGCTTGTGTTGCGCAGCAGTGCTGGAGTCCTCCGATCCGTCTGTCTGTCAAACCCTCAACAGCTGCCTTCCATAAATCTGATTCTGGATCAGTCTCAGTGCGGACACCCTCCCCAAACCTCCTTTCAGGATCTCACATATCCTTCAGAGGTCTCTCTGCACCTCGCGTTACGCACATGCGAGACTTTACTGAACACTTGATAGTGGATTCATAAGTGTTAGCGAAACTTAAACAACAGTAGCTGGTTGTGTTGTTTCTCAGGGAGAGCGAGAGGGGGAGGGAGGAAGGGTAGAGTGCGCGGGAAGAAGGAAAATATGACTGTCGAGAGATCTTTTTCTGCACTTGTTTGACTTTTATGCATGTGAGTCATTTTGTAAGCACGAGCTCTGGAGAGGAAACTAAAGTTAGAGGATTCGCTCATTGATCTGCCTGTCTGTTGGACAGTGAGTCTTGCTCAATAAAGGAGTATTAATAGATGTGTGAGTCTCTCTGCCAGCTGCAGCAGGGCTTCTGGCTTGTTTTATGTTGTATCTCTAACATAACTGGTATAAAACAAACGGTATCGATTTCCTAAATTTTAAAGGTTTGAGAAATGCTGTAGTCAGAGAACCGGCTTCCCTCAGCCAGCAAAGACAATGACGGGTTTCATCTCGCTTTTATTTACCATGCAGAGCTGTTTGTGGCAAACAGAATGTATAATAAAGACCTGACTAAAGTAGTAGTTCACTTTAAAAAAAAAAAACTTTTGCTGATAATTTACTCACCCCCATGTCATCCAAGATGTCCATGTCTTTCTTCAGTTGAAAAGAAATTAAGGTTTTTGATGAAAACATTCAAGGATTTTCTCCACATAATGGACTTAATTGGAAACCAAACGGTTCAAGGTCCAAATGAGAGTTTCAGTGCAGATTCAAATAAGGGCTTTAAACGATTCCAGACGATGAATAAGGGTCTTATCTAGCAAAACAAGTGTTGGAAATGCTCTATAGAAGGGAAATATCCGAATAGACTAAAAGTAAATGCATATATGTAAATGCATTTACTTGTATATAGATTTTCACATAAATGTATAACAAGTAGAAAATTAAAAAAAAATTGAAAATACAACACAGAAAAAAAATGTCTCCATATAATTCCATAACTGAGCATCTAAAGTTTAAGCTAGCCTAAACCCTTTTTGAGTTGAAAGTATACCAAGAGCACAACCCTGACTTTTTAAAGTGTGAAAACAAATGTCTGTTCAATTAGACATTGACAATAGCTAATTTTACTTAAGCAAATTAACATTTTTATACCTTAAAACCGAGTTTTATCATATAAAATAGGATAAATTCAGGTTGATTGGGACACTTTTTACCATCATCTCAATGGCAAAAAGTGTCACAACCAACCTGAATTTACCCTAAGCGTAGAACCTAACCTGAATTGGGTCAATAAAAGCAGGGAAGTAAAAAATAAAATAAATAAAAGCTCTGAAAAGGAGGCAATTTTCAGACAGGCTAGCATTAGCGAGCTAGCTTTAAAAGCACAAGATCCCACCCTCCCTTCAGAGTGTCTCAAACACCAGAGGCCTCTTTCAAAACGCATAAACGCACACAGCAGGGAGCAAACAAAAGCGTCACGATATACTGCTCATGTCTCAAAGCAGCGAACATTGCTGTTATAATCAACATAAAAACTTAAAGAGCACTGACCTGTATCACCTGCAGATTCATTTCATAAGATGGCGACCGAGACCGGAAGTAGGGTAATCTTTTTTCCGGTGAAAGCGTTTATCGCTAGCAGCCTAGCACAGTTGCAGTCGGTGTACAAACACTTTTATAATGTTTATGTCAACCCAAAGAAGAAACAGAGTAATTTATCACTTCACAGCTTTCCGTGTTTTCATGGAATAACTGGGGAGAAGTTAAATCACGTCAGACAAAGACGACAACAATACGACTAGCAGCTAGCTACATCGACATTAATTCTCAAAATGGACTGTGAACAGCTTGTTGTTTTCTCTCAATCATTCATATATCTGACAAAAGTAAGAATAGCAGATGTTTTCAGTTTTGTTGATAGTTTTCAGGGAGCTGTGAAAACATCGAAATTGGACAAAGGTTACAAATTCTTGACGTTTGCTTACATAAAGTTCCATTCATAATGCCATGACACTTGATAACTTCTCACATTCAACGTAAATATATTGAAAAACAATAAATAAATAGATTGAAATGATGTCTGATTATAGGCTATGAGTGAAATTTAGTGGCTTTTGTTAAAAAAAAAAAAAAAAAAAGTTAAAGAACTTTTGTTAGGAATGTTCTGTTCGTCACCGTTTCCCACGAAAGTTTGCATTGCCAGAGGGCGCGTGGGAGCTATGAAAAAAAGAATTCAAACTGCATGCAGATTTTGTTAAATCTTTAATATGTGCTCAATGAAACGTTAAAAATAACAAATTAAAGACTGATAACTGAATAAAAAAATGAAATGGGCACAACATATATATTTTTAATTAAATCTTGAATAGGACTCATCAGAAACAACCGTGATTAGTCCATCCTGAAAGCGCGGAGGAAAGTAACAGGTACTATGTGACAGCGCTATCTCTTTAACCTTCTTCAGTAGCTGTTTGGGTAATCATTTACACCGTAATAAGAATGATACTGAGACTCGAATGTTAAATTAAATACACTAAAATAAGACACTTATTAAAGGAAAGATGCTGGAAATGAAATATAAGCCCTGGTTAATCAGAGCGTTCGGTGGGTATGGTTTTATGGGAAATGTAGTTTCAAAAATCAAACTATAAACACATTAATTCAATCCTTTACAACAACAAAAAAAATACTGCATGATAATACTATTGTTATATTTAAAATATAATTTGTGTATGCGGTCTTGCATTGTCTGCCTGTTTATTATTTTTAAATTGTTCGACTTTATTTCCTCCTCCCACAAACAAAGTCACATGACTGCCCCTTTGACAGGAAGAAAATGGCGATCTTCAGTGTATATGTTGTCAATAAGGCTGGTGGACTCATCTACCAATACGATAATTATGTACCTCGAACTGAAGTCGAAAAAACGTTCAGCTTTCCTCTTGATTTAGTTTTAAAGATTCATGATGAGAAGGTAATTGTGTCATTCGGACAGCGGGACGGGATCAGAGGTGGGTGTTTATGTGTCTGCAAACCATCCCATGAATTAATACATATTTGTAGGTCAGTTAACCTTCTTTTATTGTGAATTATATGAATTGTTTTCTTTTGTGCAGTCGGTCATGCGCTTCTTTCCATTAACGGAGTGGATGTGAATGGCAAGTACACGGCTGAAGGAAAGGAGATCCAGGAATATCTGAAAGATCCTGCTAACTATCCGGTGTCCATCAAATTCGGCCGACAGAGACTCTCATCCAATGAGAAGCTCATGCTGGCTTCAATGTTTCATTCGTGAGTAGATTTCCTTAATAGATATTTCACTACATTATTATTGTGATGTCTTCTCAAACCTATATGACTTACTTTCTTCATTGAAACACAAAAGCCATCCGCATAATATCAGAAATATTTACTATTATTATCAATGTTGAAAAGAGTTAATATTTCTGTGGGAACTGATTATAACTTTATAATCAGTTCATTATAATTTTTAAAAGAAACTTAGCTACTGACTTTAAATTTGTGATCAGTAGTGCAATATAGGCTAGATAAAACATAATCAGAAGCATACTAAACCATACATTTTTTCATCAAAATGCTGTTATATGTTTTGAAACTGACTTGTTTTTATTCGATGTGCCTTTTCCTGTCTTTTCTCAGGCTGTTTGCCATTGGATCACAGTTGTCGCCTGAAGTTGGCAGCTCTGGTATTGAAATGCTGGAGACGGATATGTTTAAACTGCACTGCTTTCAAACACTCACAGGTCTATGTTTTCTCTTGTTGAAATGACAAAATGATATGAAAGGTGCAGTAAGTGATTTCTGAATAACACTGTTGATATTTGAAATCAACCCAAACTCTCTGTCCTACCCAGTTTCAACAGCGTTTCTCAGAAATCACTTCCTGCTCCTTTAAGACATAGAATGATGTGTTAATTTGGTGGCAAACAAAACCAGTGATACTGACAGAACTTGTTTATGTGTTTTTGCAGGCATAAAATTCATTGTATTGGCAGACCCTCGGCAGTCTGGCATCGATGCGCTCCTAAGAAAGATTTACGAAATCTACTCAGACTTTGCACTGAAGAATCCTTTCTACTCTTTAGAGATGCCTATCAGGTGTTTTTTATTATTACAAACATTATGGATTTTTTTTTTTAGCTTTGCAGGCAGTTTAATTTGATGCTGGTATTTGATGCAACAAGGTTGTGTATAACAAAAACAAATGCATGATTTCTTTCAGATGTGAGCTTTTTGACCAAAACCTAAAGATGGCTCTGGAAATAGCAGAGAAAGCTGGGACATTTGGACCCGGATCCTGAACTGGACTTGCATTGAGTGTGTTCATCCACCTGACAGGACCTCTAGAAGTTCTGGAGTCAAACCGGTCAACAGAAATGGCTTAAGGATTTCCATCCTTTCAAGCGTTTTTCCTCAAGCTCGGTTTAAGACCACTGTAACTGTCTCGTTTATGTTCTTTTTTGAAATGAAGTCCCACATTCACAGTGAGACATAACCTTTGTAAATAATGTACATGGACAGTTTAAGTTTGTAATGTGATCAACAACATGCTCAATACGTTTCATCAAAAAATGTTTATTGGTGTCTATCCAAATGAAATGAAATTTACTTGTAATTTGCGTTCTGTCAACAGAATATAAAAGTGTACTGTATCATCCGTTCAGTCCAAATTTTAAAAGAAGGTCAAACAATAATATCATGAATATTTAAATCTTTTATTTATATAAACTCATTTCATTGTGCATTGAACAGTCACGTGATATAACTTACAGTTAGGTCACGTATTTCATCATACACATTACATGATTTTGTAATACTAGAGATACAGAGGTAGGACCAGTTAAAGCTCTGAAACGGATGAAAAGTACAAGAAATAAATGTTATTCTATTAGATTTAATGGCAGTCATTTACAACTACTAAAGTATTGGCTTTAACGTGCCCTATAAAACGATTAATTAGTGAGTTCTGCAATGCAAGTAAAGTGATGAACAATGTAAAATACTGTTATCCGTTTTCAAAATGAACAGAATAAATAACAATGTGCTTCTGAAAGGGACACATGGTTTCCTATTTTGTACATTGGTAAAAATATAATGTAATATCTTGGGAATAGATATCCACATTGAATTCATCCATTGTTAATAAACACACAAGTTAAATCCTAGACATTTTCAGAAATTGTGTCCTTTATACCGTATCTAAAAATACTTGGTTTAGTCATCCTTCTTAGGTAAGCTTCCCATCTTTGTGCGAATATTTCGGAGCAGGAAGTATCCAACTGTGGTGACCGTACAGGCTACTTCTGCTACCCAGAATGCTGTGTTCCAGCTATAGTGTTTAGCAATGGTGCCAAATGGCAACCCTGACAGGAAACCGCCAACTGCGGGCAAAACAAACACAAAAGCACGTTAGTATTCTTTGAAATAGGCAACTGGCTATGTAAATGTAACGACTTTTGGAACGCTAATTTGGATTGGATATCGGATACTTGTTATAAAATATAAAATTTCGATTAATCTTATCAATTGTTCTAACGTGACTTTGAATCATTCAAGCGCAAGAAGACCTGCAAACTGTTTTCTGTGCTGCACATATTCAAAGCGTGCTCATCCGTGGGGGTTTTTTGCACTTGAACGGACAAATACAGACAAAATTAAGTCAAAATATCCTCGTAAACGCAGTGTCTTAACCCTCAAACTGTATTCACTTTATAGCCCTTAATCCTGTAATTGTGGACAAATGTGGGCACAGAGGACTCAGGTGTGATCCTAATTTTTATTTATTATAAATGTTATATCACTGTCTTCGATAATGTTTTGTCTATCCATTTATGGTGTTTTTTTAAATTTGGGGGTATTTCTGAATTTATTTAATTCAAAAAGTACCATATTTTCTATGTAAATTATGCTTATTTTTATGCTTTATTTAAAAAAAATTTTTTAACTACATTAAAATATCATTCCAATAAGTTCTTAGAGCTAAAACCTAAAGATGCAGTGACTTTGCTGTCACCTGGTGTCTTATTTTGGCTTATTTTAGAAGGCTCTAAATTACAGTTTTTCCCATTCATTTTTATGGGTGCCCATTTTTGACCCAAATACAAGATTAAGGAGTTTTTTTTTCACCCACTTAACATTGTAGAATTGAGTCAAAAGAAATATGTGTGTGCTCAGGAGGCAAACTTAGGAAAAGTAGCCAAGTCTTGTACCGCTCAGATCACGGGAAGTATTTTTTAAAAATAAATCAAAACTATTTTGCCCACATTTGTCCAGAATACGGTTTTAGGGGTAAGTGTATGTAAACAGTTGACAAAAAAACGCATGTGTAACAGTATTGGATCCGTGCAGCTCTTAAAGTGACGCAGCCTAAAATTGTGCGATTGCTGATTTGTTTATTTTGTTTACTTGTCTTTAATAATGCTTGGCATTTATATTTGTTAGGCTAGTTGTTTTTGCTACGGTATTTTTAAACCATAGGCAAAAGTTCCTTGTAAAGCAGATTTTTAAATTAGGAATCGATGAAAATCGTAATCAATAAGCAGAATCAGAATCGTTAAAATTCAAACGATACCCAATCCTAATAAAATACATACTCTAGAAAACACAGAATAAAAGTCCTAACACTGATGTTCCTACTGCTTATTTTATTCTACAAGTAGCTGACAGATAAAAACATACTTGTAGAATACATTTTCCAGCAAAAGCATTAGTGTGGACAAAGGACTTTAAATAAAATGGAGAAAAATGTTCACCGTTTGCCATCAGGGCAACGATGGCATGAGAGGTTCCACAGTAGTTCGATGGAGCGCTTTCATTGGCTAGAACTCCAAACAAGGCAATCGGTCCATAGGAGGAAAAGCCAAAAGCAGCACCCAACAAAAGAATCCAGACCTGTGTGTAAAATCATAATAAAACCAGTACATTACAGACACGATAATTGGCAATTTTCTTTCTAGGTTAAATGGAGTTTGGGTAGGTTTGTTTTTTTGTTTTTTGCTAATTGCTAGTCATTGGAAGGTGGTACTAGGGGGAGGGACATTCTCTACTAGAAGCATTTGATTGGACAAAAATATTTGTAGTACAGGATGAGTCATCGATATTATCCGTCAGTTTTGTGTAAAGATACTGAACTTACATTTGAGCTGTGTGCTGTGACAGTAGTCCGGAAGAGGTACATGGAGACACACATCCCAGCCATCATGGAGAGCAAGAGCCCATGGCGAGGGTTTCCATACAGGCGCAATCCATGCTGCAAATACAAGAGAGAGAAAAATCCACCTCTTTAGATACACTACTGAGGTCAGTAAGAAGAAATTAAGCAAGAACACGTTAAATTGATCAATAGTGACAGTAAATATACAATGTTACAAAAGATTTCTTTTCAAATAAATGCTGTTCTTTTGAACTCTCTATTCATCAAAAAACCATGGGGGAAAAATTATATTGTGGTCGTACTTTATGGCTCATTGTTTGTCATGCATGGTTTTTGGATTTCATTTAAATAGACATTGGTAGTATAAACTCACCTTTGAAACGGCCCTGTCTGACAGGAATCCTGCAGCTAAACTACCCAGCAGTCCTCCCATCTCCAGGGCACTCATAAAGGAACTGCCTGTGAAAATCAGCAGCAATACACACTTTTGTCCATATCCCAAAAGTCTCATCGCACACTTAGCTAGCTATTTCTTAAAGAGAAATAATATAAAATTGTATTATGACAGTCTCTATCAAAACATACTTTTTAACTTATAGAAGTGAAAATGTCTTCATAGTACAAAAAGCTGCACCTATCTATGGACACTTGTTTCTGCAACAGAATAAAAAAATTAAAATGGTAATTACGACTTTTTAATCTCACGATTCAGACTTTATTTTTCACAATTGCGAGTTTTTATCTTGCTATTTTGATTTCCCCCCCTCGTAATTCAAACGTTTTTCCTCGTAATTGTGGGTTTATATCTCACAATTCGTACTTTTCCCTCATAAATCTGTTTACATCTCACAATTCAAACGTTTTTCCTTACAATTTTGGGTTTATATCTCGCAATTCTTACTTTTCCCTCATAAATCTGTTTACATCTCACATTTCAATCTTTTTTCCTTGTAATTCTGAGCTTATTTTTCGCAATTCTTACTTTTTCCCTCATAAATCTGTTTACATCTCACAATTCAAACCTTTTTCCTCCTAATTCTGGGTTTATATCTCGCAATTCTTACTTTTTCCCTCATAAATCTGTTTACATCTCACATTTCAAACGTTTTTCCTTACAATTTTGGGTTTATATCTCGCAATTCTTACTTTTCCCTCATAAATCTGTTTACATCTCACAATTCAATCTTTTTTCCTTGTAATTCTGAGCTTATTTTTCGCAATTCTTACTTTTTCCCTCATAAATCTGTTTACATCTCAAAATTCAAACCTTTTTTCCTCCTAATTCTGGGTTTATATCTCGCAATTCTTACTTTTTCCCTCATAAATCTGTTTACATCCTGCAATTCAAATGTAATTCTGAGTTTATATATCACAATTGTTTTTTGTTTCACAAAGCAAAAAAAATAAAAAAGGCACAATTTTTCATCTCACAATTAGAAGTTTTTCTTGCATTTGCAATTCAGACTTTTTTTCTTTGAATCGCAAGTTTACATAGTGCAATTGTGCGATATAAACTCAGAATTGCAGGATAAAAAGTCACAATTACCTTTATTATTATTTTTTCCATTGAGGAAACAAGCTTCCACACCTATTAGGCCCTCATCAGGTCACATTTGAAGCCTAAAATGAAGCCTAAATACTTTGGACCACACATAGTACCCATTAGTGCTGACTGGCCCATGTCCTGGATGAGGAAAAGTTGTCCCCAGTCAGTGTAAGCAGTCTTCACCCCAAACACCACCAGATAGCCCAACGATAACACCCACAGATACGGAGAAAAGATGAACTCTTTGAAGGTGCTTTCATTTTTGCTGGAACCTGAAATCAAAAGGTATAGAGCCCAGATGGATCAAATGTTATTAGAGGAGAGACAGAAAAGTCCATTGGTTCAACACGAGTGACCTTCGACAGAAAAAAACATAAATTAACACACAAACACAGTAAAACACACCCCTTTGCACTCTGTTTTGGTCCAATAGTTCATTCTTTAAAGAACTAGTGAGTGAAACCTTTGATCTAATGCAGACTTCCACAACATCATAGAACCTATATATATGACCTATATAAGCAGAACCAGTTATAGCAAAGACAACAGAGTATGGGAAATTTAAAGCAACATAAAGCAGCGTTCCCATCTCATTTTAATTCCTTAATGTAACCTATTTCCTACTGATATAAAATACACATGCATGAGGATTGTGAAGTCTTCATACCTCCTTTGCCTTTCTTTGCACCAGCTTCAATATTAGGCAGGCCGACTTCACTGGGCTCATTTCGGATAATGAGCAGACAGAAGAAGGACATGACCACACAGGTCAGGCCGGAGATGGACAGCGTGGACCTCCAGCTGTAGCTTTGGGCCATCAGTGTGGCAATTATGGGCCCCAAACCACCAGCCAAATTCATACTACAGGACAGCACTGCCCACCAGGTCCCAAACTGAGATGGCTCAAACCACTATTGAAACAAATGAATTCATCTCATATGTAGTACTGAATCTGAAATATATGGGTATTATATAAAGTATACAGCAGTTTAAATATATATGCATTGTACAATAAGTTTCCATTTAACAGGTTAATTTACTTTAGGCCAACCAAGATGTAGGTGTCATTATGCGACAGGAAGCTCACGCTCCAGACTGTCATGAACCCGTTTGCCGAGGATGTGAATTACCGGTAGCAACATTTTTTTATTTAGCTTACTCGACCCGGTGTTCTGATGATTTGTGCCGCCTTGTCGAAAAATGCTACCGTAGTGCGAATCGATCACAGAAAATGTTGATTGATATTATATGAAATACAATTATAATACAATTCTAAGTTATGAGTAGCTACTGTATACTGTAGACTACTGTTTTTATTTTTAAAACGTTGTGAAAAGTAAAAATTATCATCAAATATTAATCTTGTCAAAGCACATCTTTCCTTAATAACTAAAACTTTCAGTCATTCTTGTTCAGCTGGCTTACCGTACAAATATTCATATGGTAGTTAGCATTTTTTTAAAGGGAAATTACATTATAACACATGAAAATTGACCTTTTGTTAAAAAAAAAAACTGAGTCTGCGCATGCGCATAACCAGTAAGTAGCAAATCTCGATGGGTAGCATTCGCGGCGGGCGATATTTTTTTTCCCAGGATGGTAGGGGAAGACTCATTAATATTCATTAGGGAACTCATTCCTGATTGGTCTTAACCCCAGTGACGGTTAGGTTTAGGGGCGGGGTTAGGGGTAGGTCGTCAGTCCTCAGTGACGGTTCAGGTTTAGGGGCGGGGTTAGAGGTAGGTCATCAGACCAATCAGGGATGAGCTCCTTAATGAATATTGATGAGTCTTTCCCTACCATCCTGGGGAAAAAAATATCGCCACCGGCGGCACCATTATAACCGACCCCATTAGTGAGGTTAACATTGGCCTACGTCCTGTTATATACATAATGCACAGAAGAACAATCGTTTCACTCTATAAGACCTCAATGTATAGTCAGAAGCCATGTATTCGTTTTAATTTGCCTGTATCTGTTTTAACATCCATAAGTTAGATGTTAAAAGATCTTCATGGAACCATCGATGCCAATAAAGATCCTGAGTATATGTATTTTTATGTACAATGCAAGTCCATAACGTTATACTGCAGGAACGGACCCATACCTTGCGTAGTACTTTTGCACACGGTGGCCATCCTAGACCTTGACCCAGTCCATTCAGAAACCACAGGCCTGAGAACACCACCACCGAGGAGGACTGAGAGAAAACCACGTTGATGCCGCCAACCATAAACAGCCCAATAGAGAAAAGCCATCGTGCGCTCATCTGATCGGACAGCACTCCGCTTATGAACTTGCTAATGGCGTAGGCCAGCGACTGACTGCTAGTGATAAGACCTGCAGTGCACAAAGAAACATTGATTAGACTTCTGAAGGAAGTGATTACAATTCAGAATCACTTAAAAACATATGGGTTTGCAAAGATTGGGCGAAAGAGAAATTCCAAATGCGTTATCACTCTTCATTGGCTTATGAACTGTAAATTCAGTGATAAGAGCAATTCAATCAATGTGCTGATAAAGTAGATCCGGGGCAACACACCAAAGCAGATTCAGTGATTTTAACATTATTGTTTGTGGTCGATCTCATGAAATGTTGTCAGCAAAGGGATTTATTTGGCGTTCAGAAAATAACACCGGTTCAGCTTAATCAGCCCACATGTATGAAATTAATGATAATCGAATATGACATAACGGGCCAAATTTGTGTATAAATGTTTGTAAATGATATTCTGTTTATATAATCATGACATTTAAAGAAAAAAAATGAAACTAAACATGCATTTCAGTTGCATTTTCTAGACAGTTAGACATCATACAGCTTTTTTTTCCTTTTTTAACAGGGTGGAACGTAGATATGTGAATATGTGAATCTGTAAATATATTACCTGATACTTTCTGATATTTAATTCATTTTTTTGATGACATTTCAGTTGGGTAATGTTAAGTAACAGGGTGGAATGTGTATGAGTGGGAATAAACAATTATGTTGATAAAACATCAAAAAGATCCCAACTAAAAAGCAGCATTGACATATGAGATGTTTCTCAAATTAAGATGTCACATCAGGGGAATCAATGTCACAGTGTGTAAGTTTAATATTTTACACCTGCATTTCATACACACTAACAGGGTGGAAAGGACTATCATAAAATGTTTTGGGTTTTCTTACGATTTTTACATGTTTTTGAAAGAAGTCACTTATGCTCATAATGCTGCATTTTACAGTAAAAAACATTAATATTGTGAAGTATTATTATAATTTAATTAGTAATTAATTCCTATGATGCAAAGCTGAATTTTCAGCATAATTACAGACAGTCAGAATCAGACATGCAGAATTTTCTGCTCAAGAAAAACATTTATTAATAGTTTTATTATTATTAACAGCTGTGCTGCTTTTATAATATTTATCTGTTCATGACATCAAAAGATGACAGTCTCAAACATCTTCTCTATTAGGTAATACATTATCAATCACTGGAAATGTACTGTTTATTCAAATATGATTATTACGTTCTGTTGACATTCAGCTAAATCTGAATAATAATCCTTTTGGGAGCTTTTTTTTTCATTCAAGATGATTTGGGCACTGAATATCACTGTCTTAATGCCTTCCGTCCATTGTTTATCATACTCATTTACTGTAATTCCAATGAATGCATGTGTAATAGGTTATAAACATGAGTGGGCACATGACAGAGAGGTAAGACACAGTACAAACAACTAGTTGCACATGCTCACCCAGATCATCCTTATCCAGCGGGATCTCCTGCATTACAGAGGGCATCACGAAGGAAAATGTCTTCCGGTTAAAGTAATACAGCGTGTAGCCCACAAACATGGCCAGGAATATAGTAGCTCGGTAGTAGCCATATCCGCTCTTCGCCATGGTTGGCACAATTTTAAAAAATGATAAGTAAGGGTCTTCTTCAGCTCGACACAGTTACCAGGAGCATCTGAGGGCTATGAACTCACGAGTGTGGATCCGTGGAATATGAAGAGCTGGTGAGGTCCGGGGAAAGAGCTGTAATCAATGGCAGGGTTAATGGTCAACCTGGCAGAGATCTTTGGAGTGTTCTCCGGCAAACAACTGTGTCATGGGCCGAAATCAAACGTACTCTACTGAACTGAAACGTTACCTTTGCAGCAGGTCTGCTGTTGTCTGTAGCCAATGTTTTTCTACTATTTCTACTTTGTTGTTGTCTTAAACTTGTTGTGAAGAGGGTGTTTTTGAAGATCCCCTAATCTGAGGAGTTTAATGATTGACGTGGGGGTCTGTATGTATGTGACAGTTTATAGGTTTGACTATTGGCAACGTGTGTTGTGTAAGATTGCACTATGGTTGTGAATGCTCTTTAGGGGTCGAGCACCAAATGTTTACCACCAACAGCACAAAGTTGTCTAATTATAATTATATTTTTTTAAATGTAATTAAATGTATTCCTTGCTTTGAATCTGAGTATATTTTACAGCCTTTTCAACACTTCCCTGGTGAGAAAAAAAAGTAAAACCAGCCAAACCCAGAAAGCAACATTGCGCGTGTACCAGATGTGGGCCGGATGTGGGCCGAACTATGTTGCAGTCTGAGAAGTTGCCTGGTCCAAGCCCGGTCGAAGCTGGTTTAGCAGACTGGTTTTACCCTCTTCTTTAGATGATCAGGAAGGTCTTAGCTTGTCAGGCTAATCCAGCTAAAAAAGCTAAAATCCAGCTAATCCAGCTAACACCAGGTCAGACCGCTAATAATAGGTGTGGTCACATTAGCAACATTTCGGTTCAATAGAGTGCCGGAGTGATGACGTCACTTTGTAGGACAACTCAGAAGCTAGCGGCGCATGGGTTCCCTTGATCGAAAAGCTATGTATTTTCCCCATCAAAAAATAAGATCTGTGTTCAACAAAGAGTTGGGACCCTTACATGTTTTTTCTATCAATATAATATTTACAAGTTAATCCAAAATTTATACATTTTAAAGCCTATATAAAGTTTTTAAAAAGCACAAGCAGACACAATATGGTTTAAAAAAACACAAGCAGGTTATAACTGTTTGTTCTATGTCATAGATCAAATTGTGAAAATATTTAAAGTCTTTGTTCACTACAGACAATATTTCAGGCGATTTAGCAAAAACCCATTCAAAAATCCCATAGACTTTAGAGCGAGGGAACCGGAAGTGCTAAAACTCACTTCCGCGTTTTGGCCTACAGAGTGACGTCGTAACTTCGGCACTCTACTTCGCAGTATATGTAGTGATGCACAGGTCACAGAAGTCGCTTTCAAACGCATTCTGTTGGTCAATGCAGCGAATTTGCATTATTGACTGAATTTTAAAACACTTACGCCACATTCACACCATTCGCAAAGCGTCCCACCCCCTACATTATAAATAGACACTGAAACTAAAATCTTTTTAGTTTTAGACTCTTTAAAATGTTCTACTTGGTGAATTATATTGTGATATAAGCTGCATCTTAATTCGCATACTGTACAATTGCAACTACATTTGATTTGAAAATTGATTTGTGACCTACCTATGGGATCAGTTGCATCACTTCACTGCCTTTCACAACTCCTCTCCCGTGGTCTCATGGGAAAGTAAAGTGTCCATCAAATGCACACTTCAAAATATCACGCAAGTAGTAGGTCATCCAGTTACTTTTCACCTACTGTTTTCTGAATTTGATGTGTAGTATGTCACTAAGCACATTCAGATGCAGGGAATGTGAATGCACCAAAATTGTCTGTACGACATTTTCAATTTTGACATTTAATGTCATATTTTACCATATCAACACATAACCTAGCAACATCTGCTGAGGGTATCTGGTCAAACTAAACTAACAAAATAATCAAATTGCAATAACACTCTCTGTCCGTATTTATAATAATTAAAACAATTTAGCCAACCATTTTTTCCAAATTTGTATTTTAATAAAAACCTTGGGGGTTTGCTTTGTTTTTAGTTTTTTCATTTTTTTGAACTCCTCATTTGAAGGGATAGTTCACTTTGAAATTAATTGTTGAGATGTTTTAGTTTACCTCAAGGGCATCCAAGATGTAGGGTGTCTTTGTTTCCACAGTATTTTCAATTTTGATATTTTTAGGTCAAACTGGTCTTGTCTGTCAGTCATATAATGCAGGTTTATGGGGTTCACCTCAAAGAGCATGCACAGAGAAGTCCAAATTAAACATGATTTAATAACTCGTAAATGTAAGTACACATTGATGGCCTAAGACACGAAACGAACAGTATTTATATTGTTTTTACCTTTTGTAATCACAGTCACATCCAAGTACTCTGAGGGCGAGGGCGCTTCTGTCTGTGCTCGTTGCATTGATACACGTTGCATTGATACACATTGATACCTGCTCGTTTCGTGTCTTATAGGCCATCAATGTGTACTTACATTTACGAGTCATTAAATCATGTTTAATTTGGACTTCTCTGTGCATGCTCTTTGAGGTGGACCGGACACCATTAACCTCGATTATATGACTGACAGACAAGAACGGTTTGACGTAAAAATATCAAAATTGAAAATACTGTGGGGAAAAAAGACACCAACATCTTGGATGCCCTTGAGGTAAGCTGAAACATATCAAAAATTCATTTCAAAGTGAACTATCCCTTTAAAATCCTGACACTATCTCATTTTTTTTTTTTTTTGACAACAGCACCACATATCGGTCAAACTTTATAAGCAATGCGAAAGCAAAGGGACTGTATGTTCAATCAAATGTAACATATACTACTTATGGCCAAAATGCTGCTTGCAGAAATGCGTTGTGTTTAACATAACATATACAGACGTGACTGTAATACAACATACGGGTATTTTTCGTCCTACCAATAGTTAAAAGTTGGGACATGCTGCTGCTCAGTGCCCCGTGAGCTGGTGTGAGACTGCAGCTCGCAAACGTGGCAACACAATCAGTACAAAAATCATCCACTAGCTAACCGGCAAGTAACAACAATGTCGTTTCTGTGATTTGAGAGGTTAGTAGAAGGGTAACGGTGAAAAAAAATCTGATAACTGATAATCATGAAAATAATAACATGCCTACTTCCGTGAACCAGAGGTTGCCTTTCGGATGTCTGTTCCAGGAAGCAAACACTTTTCATTAACCCTTTATCCACGACCAAACCATGTCGATCCGACACACGGTCCTTAAATCTCCATGTTTTTTTTTCTTATAGATTAGTGGATTTCGTCTAAATGCTGTAAATTCCTGAAATACTGGTCAAACTAGCCTAATTCAGCCCATTGCTTCCACCTATTGGACGAGTAGAGTAACAACTCAAATTAAGGGTTATACAATCATATTGTTCAAATGTTCTGCAGTGTTTTTTTATTACATGAATTGTGGATTTACACAAACTGTTTACTGCTGGGCAACGAGGGATAAATGCAGTTATTGAAATTACAATTGCAGAATTATGCATTTGTTTTTACAAGCTACATAGTGTCATTTAATGTTAGTACATTAAATGATCAGTGATATGAAATTGTAAAAAAAATGTGATGTACACTACCAAAAAGAATGAAATAAAAGAAATAAATACTTTTTAACAGCTAGAATGCATTCAATTAATCAAAAGTGACCGTTCATAATGTTACAAAAGATTTTGGTAACAGTTCATTTTGATGGTCCACATTTTGATGTAACTTTGCAACTACATGACAACTTATTCACATTAGAGTGTTAGTAGACTTTCTGTTTAATGTCTGCTAACACTTTATTTTGAGTTCTAAAAGTAACTTTGCAACTACGTCAACTTATTCTCCTAACCATAAACTAACAGTCTACTACACTAAGTTAATGATGAGAAGAGCTAGTTGACCTGTAGTTGCAAAGTTACTTTTAGAACTTTCCATTTATCAAAGAATTCTGAAAATAAAAATTATACAAAAATATTAAGCAGCACAACTGATTACAACATTGATATAAGAAATGTTACGTGACTTGTCATAGTCCCTTATGGACTTTTATGTTATTTCTGGTTCTGCATCATGTTTTGTAGTCCTCTGTAGTTTTTCTTGTTCCCAGGTGTGTCTTGTGTGCCAATTACTCCTTGTATTAAACCCCATGTTTCTTGTGCTCCGTGTTAAGGCTTGTCTTATTGGATGTTTGTTCCGTTGGATTTGTTATGTTTATTTTATTATCAGCTCAATGCATCCAACTCTCCTTTGTTTTTGACCTCACACTATGTAATAGCACTTAATCAACATAGAATGATTATTTTTGAAGGATCATGTGACGCTGAAGATTGGAGTAATGATGCTGAAAATTCAGTTTTCCATCACAGAAATACAGTACATTTTAATATATATTTAAAATTGTAATAATATTTGACTGTTTTACTATACTTAGTATGTATTAAAGAGACAATCCCTATGAATCCCCCAAAATCTTGGTCCAATGGTGAAGATTCATATGTAACATCTTGCAAAGTAGAGACCTCAAACCTCTTGCCTAGATCTTTATCCATATACACTACCATGTGTGACAGTAATAAAGGCAGGGCAATAAAGCACAATATATGAAGTGTACATAAGCGGGGAGATGGCAAGGATGATCATGTTTACCGTTTGCTAAACAGCATTTTCTGCAGCAGCTTCTGAATCTAAATCTGTTTTGGATCAATAGCTTTTAAGGATGGTGTGCTAAATATTCTGATATAGGTGATAAACATTAAATTTGTTCTCTGGAGGTATAATGCAATTGAAGACCTGCTGGTTTTGTCCTCTTTATACATTTTATTTCTGGATATTAATGGCTCAGTCAGATCATTCTGGTAGGATCAGGAAAGACTGTGGCTGCATTTGGTCTCGTGTCAACATTGACTTGGTCCGAATTTTTCTGTTATGGTTTGTGATTTTTTTCTACACCTTGTTTGGGGCTGCTGTCTTCTCGGCTCTCGAGAGACCTTCAGAACTGGAGGCACATTGCAAATGGAACAGACAGCTGGCTGAATTTGTTCGGGATCACCGGGTTCCTCTGGAGGACTTGCGCGAGCTCCTGGGACACTATGAGGGGGCCGTTGCTGCCGGGATTCAAATGGAACCACGAAGACCCCGGTGGGATTTCTCAGGAGCTTTTTACTTTGTGGCAACTGTAGTCAGCACTATTGGTATGTGATCGATCGATCGATCGATCTATCTATCTATCTATCTATCTATCTATCTATCTATCTATCTATCTATCTATCTATCTATCTATCTATCTATCTATCTATCTATCTATCTATCTATCTATCTATCTATCTATCTATCTATCATCTATCTATCTATCTATCTATCTATCTATCTATCTATCTATCTATCTATCTGTAGACTGTCTGTCTTTCTTTTTCTATCTATCTATCTATAGACTGTTTGTCTTTCTTTTTCTATCTATCTATCTATCTATCTATCTATCTATCTATCTATCTATCTATCTATCTATCTATCTATCTATCTATCTATCTATCTATCTATCTATCTATCTATCTATCTATCTATCTATCTATCTATCTATCTATCTATCTGTAGACTGTTTGTCTTTCTTTTTCTATCTATCTATCTATCTATCTATCTATCTATCTATCTATCTATCTATCTATCTATCTATCTATCTATCTATCTATCTATCTATCTATCTATCTATCTATCTATCTATCTATCTATCTATCTGTAGACTGTCTGTCTTTCTTTTTCTATCTATCTATCTATCTATCTATCTATCTATCTATCTATCTATCTATCTATCTATCTATCTATCTATCTATCTATCTATCTATCTATCTATCTATCTGTAGACTGTTTGTCTTTCTTTTTCTATCTATCTATCTATCTATCTATCTATCTATCTATCTATCTATCTATCTATCTATCTATCTATCTATCTATCTATCTATCTGTAGACTGTCTGTCTTTCTTTTTCTATCTATCTATCTATCTATCTATCTATCTATCTATCTATCTATCTATCTATCTATCTATCTATCTATCTATCTATCTATCTATCTATCTATCTATCTATCTATCTATCTATCTATCTGTAGACTGTTTGTCTTTCTTTTTTTATCTATCTATCTATCTATCTATCTATCTATCTATCTATCTATCTATCTATCTATCTATCTATCTATCTATCTATCTATCTATCTATCTATCTGTAGACTGTTTGTCTTTCTTTTTCTATCTATCTATCTATCTATCTATCTATCTATCTATCTATCTATCTATCTATCTATCTATCTATCTATCTATCTATCTATCTATCTATCTATCTATCTATCTGTAGACTGTCTGTCTTTCTTTTTCTATCTATCTATCTATCTATCTATCTATCTATCTATCTATCTATCTATCTATCTATCTATCTATCTATCTATCTATCTATCTATCTATCTATCTATCTATCTATCTATCTATCTATCTATCTGTAGACTGTTTGTCTTTCTTTTTCTATCTATCTATCTATCTATCTATCTATCTATCTATCTATCTATCTATCTATCTATCTATCTATCTATCTATCTATCTATCTATCTATCTATCTATCTATCATCATCAATCAATCTATCTATCTATCTATCTATCTATCTATCTATCTATCTATCTATCTATCTATCTATCTATCTATCTATCTATCTATCTATCTATCTATCTATCTATCTATCTGTAGACTGTCTGTCTTTCTTTTTCTATCTATCTATCTATCTATCTATCTATCTATCTATCTATCTATCTATCTATCTATCTATCTATCTATCTATCTATCTATCTATCTGTAGACTGTTTGTCTTTCTTTTTTATCTATCTATCTATCTATCTATCTATCTATCTATCTATCTATCTATCTATCTATCTATCTATCTATCTATCTATCTATCTATCTATCTATCTATCTATCTATCTGTAGACCGTTTGTCTTTCTTTTTCTATCTATCTATCTATCTATCTATCTATCTATCTATCTATCTATCTATCTATCTATCTATCTATCTATCTATCTATCTATCTATAGACTGTCTGTCTTTCTTTTTCTATCTATCTATCTATCTATCTATCTATCTATCTATCTATCTATCTGTCTATCTATATATTTGTCTGTAGACTGCATATCTATCTCTCTATTTTAAATGATTATTATTGCAATTATGAAACATTATAGTCCTAGTTGTAATTAAAACATCTGTGTGAATTTAGCCACTAACATAATTATCTTTATTGATATAAAGTCGATTTATAATCTAAATAACCTTTTTACTCCATACATCTGTCCCTATATTTGAAGAAGCTGACTACTACTTCTCCCAATACAGACTCCATGTAGTAATTAGCTTTGGAAGAAACAGCATGTTTACACGTTATAAACATCTTCAACAATCTAGTCTTATCAGCCTCTGAGCTTATCTTTCAGTGGTGAAATAGCAAGAAAGTCAATTTCCTGATTCAAATCCCCAGGGCTCAGATCATAATAGCTTTGTAATCATGGATACACGCAAGCAAATCTTAAATTGTACAATGTAAAGTGTAGTCTGTCAATATATAAAATGAAATGCGTACACACACGTCACAAAAGATTACCTCAAGATTATGGAACGATACTCAAAGCTGATAAAAATCTTGTTTTTTTTGTTGTGGTAGAGGCTATCATTCTGCTTTTTAGATTGCATTCAGGAACAGCATACTGTATATCCATTCTACTCTTAGCATTTCTACTAGTACGGCAGAAATAAAAGTATTCACTTGTGTGTCCATATCAGGTTTTGGGATGGCAGCACCCGCTACTCTCCATGGAAAAATCTTCCTGATCTTCTATGGGCTGATTGGCTGCTCAACCACCATCCTATTCTTCAACCTCTTTCTGGAACGCATGATAACGCTGGTTACATTCCTCACACGCAGATGTCGAAAGCAAAAACAAAGGACAAAGCTGAGTAAAAAACACAACACACAACCAGAAAAAGGAGACGGTCAAGAGGACTGGAAACCTTCCGTTTACTATGTAACCCTCATTTTGTCAACAGTCACACTTTTGGTGAACTGCGGAGCATCGGGCCTGTACTCGACTATGGAGGATTGGAGCTACCCAGAGTCTATGTACTTCTGCTTTGTGGCTTTTAGCACAATGGGTTTCGGGGACATGGTGAGCGGACAGAAGGCCCATTATGAAGCACGTTGGGCCTACCAGATAGCCAACTCTTTAATGATCATCCTTGGTGTGAGCTGCACCTACTCTCTTTTCAGCGTCACCGCCATCATCATCAAGCAGATGTGTAACTGGGTTTTGTCTAAGCTGTTTAGTCTGCATTGCTGTGGGTCTCAGGGCTGCTGCTCCGTCGCAGGTCTGAAAGTCGAAGAACCGGCCGATCAGCAGATCCAGAACACAAGCAACCATCCCGGCATCTGTCATGTGGTCAAGGCCTCTCACCCTTCCAAGAGCAAGTGTAAGTGTGCCAGCACTGCAGTAAAAACTGTGTGCCAGAGCCTGGACACAGCGAACAGCGCAACTTTTGAACACGAAATCAGAGATTCGGAAAAAATGCCAAAGTATGATGGAGAGAAGGAAGTTTTCAGTGCGGTCCGCAAGAACTGTCACCATTAGGATATGAGAACACTGTCAAATCATCAGCAGCAAGAGAAAATGCAAAAAACAAAATACTGGAAATTAAAGTAAAAAGAATGGAGAAATACAGTAAAAACCTACTATGTGAAAATGTGATTTTCATTTAACACGGTAATGAATTTGTAAGTAATATGTGAATTACCTTTTAACTTAGGGTAAACCTCTATATTGTATGTTTAATGTACTTTTACAGTAAAAATATTATTTCACAGTACATGAAAAGACATTCTGAAAATAAAAAACGGGAATCGTCTCATGATTATTTGTAAAATAGCAATACTTAGGGTGTGTTTACACAGCAACAATGTACTAAAACGGAAAAGTTTTTCCTTTGCGTACAGACAACAACGTTGTCAAACCAATCCCGGGTCACTCGGTTGAGCGGAAACGATTAAAACCACTGTATTCTGCTGCCAGACCAGTAGGTGGCGATGTCACTTTGTAAAGAAACACTATGCACTTGTAGACCTTGTGTAGCCACGCCCCTTTTAAGCGCTGCATTGATTGTGTTCTTATGGAACGGCAAAAGGGTCAAATTTCGCCTCGAACCAAACGTGTTTCATTCTCAAAATGCCAGTGTTTACGGCGTTTAAGACGAAAAGACGCTGCAAAGTACGCCGTTCTGTGGTACAAACGCTGCAAATTACGGAGTTTAGAAAGCAAAATTACGGTCATAATCAGCGTTATTTTTATCCAGCCAATGACGCCGTTTCTGACGCCGCAGGCTATCCATATAGTGCGCCGGTATTTGCGGTGCTTCTGTCTGACAAAGACGGCATAAAAAGCGGCGTTTTGGATAATATTATAATCAGCCCCACGCTTTTTTGCAATGCGGTACAAAACTACAGCAAAAACAGAAATTCAAACACAAAATTCTAAAGCTGGCTGCACGAGATATGAGATAAAATGAAAAATTATGAGATAAAGTCGAAATTTTGACTGTCATAATTTCGATTTAGTAGCCTATGTCTTGATTTTAATGACTATTTGTCATAAGAATGGCTTTTAAGTCATAACTTTTAGACTTTTCATCTCACTACAAATCTTCAACTACAATCAGATACAATGACATTATGACTGTGGGTGGCATCACATGGCGATTCATCCTCACACTTATAGCCTGTGACGTGTGGCAAGCCGATTTTACAAGATATGAGTTATTGATATCAACAATTTTCACTAGTTAAAGAGCAATTTTGAAATCATGAATTCTATTTCCATTTGTTATTTCTGATATCTCAAATGTATTTCTGATATCAATAGTTAGCAGTTATATTAGATATTTAAAATGGCTTTCTTACTAGTGACATTCACATTCCTGGTAACATTGTCACTACTGAAAATCGAATTATTGACATCCAATATTAACTTTTTTACTAGTAGCAGTTAATATCAAGAACAGACAATTACCCTAGTAACCACAAATTATTGATATCAAAATTATTATTTTTTCCCTAGAATGGGCTATATGCACGCATAAGTTCCGCATTTGACGTAAGGATGCTCGTCCATTTCCGGTTGTGTAGATTAAAGCGGAGGAAAACCGGAGAAAACGGGATTATGGCAGAGTCTTCAATATTTACTGTCCTCCCGTCTTTGAAACGAAACGTACATACGTTTAGATGTAATTTTATATATAGTTATGTTTATTTAATATAATTTTAAAAAGAAGCATAAACACAACGAGGGGTGTCTGTTTTATCTGTTTTTGTGACTAACGTTTCATTAGTATAACCATGGAGTATAAAATTCAATATAAATTCTCGGTATTGCAATGGACTCTATGATCGGCGGAAGTTATCGAGCATCCTTAATCCTTCACCGGAAATAACGCCGTGCATAGAGCCCATTGAATTTCTGATTGAACTGGTAAGAAATCAATTCTTGATATCTGTAAGGTGATATGATCACATTTGAAATTCAAATTCAATTGTTGATATCAAAAATGTATTTCTTACAAGTATTCCTATCAATAATTCATATTTCTGCGAGTGATGATGTCATTGTTAATATCAAGAGTTTTTTTTACTAGTGGAGAGTAATTCCTGATATCAAAAATTACTATTTTAACTAGTGAAAATGTAATGGTCGATATCATTTCACATTCATATCCTGGGAATGGAAAAAAAAAGTCTAAACGGCTTGCCATAGTGATGTGTTCAGTATTACAGTAAGATGAGCTGGCGCGGAGGGATACAGTATGAATGAGGCCAAAGCGCAGCGGCAGCGCATTACTACACCTCTATCCGGCGGTGGGTCAGTCACTCGCTCACTCACAGGAACAGGTCCTGCGTTAATACGTCAACATATCAAACACAACCACCCCTCTGCAGTTGATTTTACACACATTTACCGGACGGGCATTGCTTAACGATGGTGAGTTCAGCCTGATTTTTATGTCATTTCTTTTTTTTCCTGCTAACGGTTTACGTTAGCCACTTTAGCATCCTGTCAGACTTTGACAGCTAATTATGGTTTACTAATATATTAAACGTATTAAGAGTGTTTAGCTTTTAACTTCAGTGCTTTTATTTATACAAACTGCTAAAAATAGCCAGCGCTATCCAACAGATGGACATCAACGTGTGATCTATATAATAAGAAAACCATATAGCAAATATGAATTGGGCCAAAAGAGATAATAAATGGATTAATTGCGTTGCGTTTTTGCGCGTTCCCGCTGCTGTTCCAGTTGAAGTCAATCACACGCGCACCAGTTTCTGTATTAGGTTTCTTGCATATTCTCTAACACAAACTTGCTGTTTTTGTCACATTAGACTCTAGTTGTTGCGAATGCATATGAGAAATGAAATGCACAGCATGCACGGTGTCTGTCCACAGCATTGACAGCTTAGTGTGTGTTGGTGCGGGTTTAGTATGTAAAGCATCATGCGTGTTGAATCCACGCAGTGCCTTTGCTCATCTCGGTGTGTGAACAGTGACTGGCTGCTAATTTTACATGGGCTGAGCTCATTGCCTTTAACAGAAGGATAAGTGTGGGCGTGGTGGTGTAAAAATAACCATCAGCAAAAGCATATGCGCTCAAGTTCTTCATTTCTGGAATAATCTGAATCGTTCTGAGCTTGTTTTGCCTCCATATATTTGCATTGCATGCACGTTCACTAAGTTTGCAAACGTCCTGCGGATATGAGGATGTTGCATTTGCATGGGCCAAAGTTGCAACATGTAAGGTAGCTGTTGCACACTGGTTGGTCAAAAAACAATGAATGGAGTGGGCAGTGAGGTTGCATATTGCAGCAGGCTGAACTGCAGTGAGGGATCCTGGTTGTCCCCCTCCCCCTTTCCCCCTGCATTGAACCAAATCATAGCTGCAGCAACACTCTGACACTAAATCTGCAGTGCAGACCAATGGCGGACTTAACCAATAAGCGAGCTAAGCAGCCGCTTGGGGATACAGGGAATCAGGGGTCCCAAACAAATACCCTGAAGCCTATAAATAATATATCTTTTTTTTTTGTATTTTCAGGATGCCATCATTAAAGTTTTAACTTTAGGATTAGGCCTAAATCTTCGTGAATGAGAAAATTAGTGGACCATTCCAGTGAATATGCTTGAATTTCTTTGGGATTTTTTTTAATTGTTGCCCATTCATTGACTGCTCTGACCCCGCCGCCCCTATCCAAAATTCGGCAAATAAATTCAGCGATCTAACCCGACTCCCTCACCGGAGAAAATCGCTTTGGGCTAGTTAGCATAAGGAGTTTTAAAGTCATCATCTGATTTAATTCTACAGGATTTCCGAGAGGTGTGTACGTGTGTAGCGTTCTTTAACAAACCGCCTGGAAACAAAGCCATAATGACGCCAAATCCTCTAATGGTAGAAGAATGCCGTTGTATAATTTACAGCTGTGACAATAACACTTTTCAGGACAAATTAAACATTGGATTTTTAAAAGTATGTGAAGTTTATGGCATAAACTCTTTAAAATAGGTCCAAGAGTTTTAGACCCCGGCCTGTTATTGTTGGGTCTTTGACTTTACATTTACATACCCCTATTCATGACGCTGAACAAAACAAACTGTTATTGGTTGCTTTATATGTCAGTCAGACGTCCCTGCTAGTAAACAGTCAGTTATCGCTTAAGTGAGTGTAAACAGTCGAGAAAGAGAACTCATCTGTAACACAATATTCGATCTGGACATTAGCTCTTAAAGTGACAGCAGCGTAATAATCCGGCTGCTTTCTGTGTTTTTAATGTTTTTAACAACAAAGGGCCGAGAAAAAAAAATCACTTGCTTCTCTTGACTGAATTACTGCTAAATATATCTAGATTTAATTCATACAGTGAAGACTATGCAGTTTACATTTAATTATTCAATTCCTATACCTGAAAACTACAGTTAGGTGGTCGCCATGATTTTGCGAAGAAAGACATGTAGAAAAACATAATCCTAACCCTATCCCACCACTAAACCTAACCCTACCTATAACCCATGCCTAAAATCAGAGAGAAATGATGGGTGAAAAAGAATTGTGTAGAAGCACCTAAGCCTTGTAATAAGCTTTAACTTAAAGTTTAAACTAACTGTAAACCCGTCCTTTAAATCTGATTGGTTGATTGGAATGCTGTTCCAGGATCAACAAGGATGTTGATCTAGTAGGCACATATTCTATGTTGAAATCAAATTCACTGCTGTTACTGTTAGACTTAACTGAACATCCTGAAAAGTACTGATTATTTAATTTGTTCTTTTGTATTAATTAATGCTATTGCTATTATTTGTTATTTTATTAATGTCTGTTTACTTATCTCTAATAATATTTGAGATTTATATTAGTTAGGCCAGTTGTTTTTGCTTTGGAATCAAAATTGCAATGTAGAATTGAGAAATGTCACTTGTATCTAAAATTTGATTTCATAACCTTTAATTTACTTATTTATTACTTTTTATGTAAATAAATGGGGGGCCAGTGAAAATTTTGGCAGGGCAAGCAAAAATCTAAAAATACTTGGCGTTAGGCATTGGGTTAATTGTTACAGATTACATTACATTAGGATTTGACATGCACTCTTAGAAGAAAAGGTTCTATATAGAACCTTAAAAGGTTCTATCAGCACTACTTATTTGGAACCCCTATAAGGTTCTATACACTCTTAAAAAAAAGGTTCCTCTGGGTTCTATATAGAACCCTGGGGTTCCATACTTGGCCAATAGAACCTTTTACCAAAAAAAATGGTTCTATATAGAACCATTTTGGAGTTCCATATATGAAGCGGGGGATGGAACCATTTCTGGTTCTAAATAGAACCATTTCTTCTAAGAGTGTATGGTTAATTTTACAGTTTATTGGTTTATTGTTGTAAGAAAGAGAGAGCAAAATAAGGGTTACAAAGGTAAAATAACTTGTGTGTAGTTGATGTGTTGGGGACCCATGCCTGGAATTGCTTAGGGCCCCAAAATCACTGTCACACACACACACACACACGCTCTTGCTCATCAAATTGGAAAGGACTCTTGTTGCATGACAAACATTTGTCCCATCATGCTCCACTTAATCCACAGTAATTGCTGCAGTCATTGACATGCAGTAACGGGCCTGAGAAGCGTTGCACAGAATATGTTAGCCGGCAGCAACAGAGACGGCAGCCCACCTGCATCCAAACTAGGCATTTAACCATTCGTGTTCCTGGAGGACAGGTCCACCTGAGGTCTGATAGGGCTGAGGTTTGAGATTTAACAGTTCTCCTCGTGAGAACGAATCTATGCCACTCCCTCACCATACACGCGTCAAAGTAGCCGGAGCAACTTTTCTCTCATCGTTTCATTATTTACTCACCCACCCTAGTGTCGTTCTAATGCAGTATTCCCTTCGTTCCTTTCGGTCCACAAAAGGAGAAATTTAACCCTCAAACCATATTCACTTTATAGCCCTTAATCCTGTAATTGTGGACAAATGTGGGCACAGGTGTGATCCTAATTTTTATTTATTATAAATGTTATATCACTGTCTTCGATAAAGATTTGTCTATCCATTTATGGTGGTTTTTTTTTATTTTAGGGGTATTTTTTGAATTTATTTACTTCAAAAAGTACCATATTTTCTATGTAAATTATTTTTATGTTTTATTTTTTATTTTTTTTAACTACATTAAAATATCATCCCAATAAGTTCTTAGAGCTAAAACCTAAAGATGGAGTGACTTTGCTGTCACCTGGTGTCTTATTTTGGCTTATTTTAGAAGGCTCTAGTCTAAATTACAGTTTTCCCATTCATTTCTATGGGTGCCCATTTTTGACCCAAATACAAGATTAAGGAGTTTTTTTCCACCCACTTAACATTGTAGAATTGAGTCAAAAAAAGAAAAATGTGTGCGTGTTCAGGAGGCAAACTTAGGAAAAGTAGCCAAGTCTTGTACCGCTCAGATCAAGGGAAGTATTTTTTAAAAATAAATCAAAACTATTTTGCCCACATTTGTCCAGAATACGGTTTTAGGTTTAAAAATGTACCTCTCACGCTCATTCATAAAGTGGCAATGAATAGTGACCAGCATCAAGCTTTTAAAAAAGATGCAGAAGTACTGAATGATCCCATGAAAGACATTTGATGAATTGATAGACGAATAAGCACAGAAATTAAAGAGATGTGTTCAAGTCATTGCACATGAATTGTTAAACTTTAAATGTTTTTTTTAATACTTAATAGATCCAGGACAAAAAAGTTAGCATCATGTCATTAACCCAATGCCTATTTGAGAACTATAAAGCACCATTTCCATAAACAATTTGACAACAGCACGTTGAGCTTTGCTTAGGAAGCTCATACGCATCATGTTCAGAAAAGTCTAGTTATTAGGGTAACCATTTATATCAGCTGTTTTCTCATCTCGCAAATGGTAAGCCAAATGTATTCAAGCTAAAGTCAATGAGTCAGACCCGTGTCCACTGTATTCTCATAGATCATTTTACACCCTGTCCGTTTTAAGCTCCAAGCTTTATGAATCACCCGTCTTTGAATACAAGGCAGCGTGTTCCTCTTCACAAAAGTCACAGCTGAATCACGGCGAGTGAAGCTGAATCCTCTCGTCTTTAATAATTGAATAATGAACTCTGTGTCAGAGAGAAGCGCAATCATTTTAAGTGTGTCGCATTCATGACCCCATAAGTGGCACTGTCTAATTATAACTTCCGTGGATATTTTTAAAAGACTATTATTATGCACGTCCTTCATTAGTCAGAGGTGTGTGTGCACTGCAAAACTGGAGCTTGTCTTGTGGTGATGTGACACTGAGCTGATTGACTTCCTCTTCCTCTCTTTTCTAATGCAGGCAGATCAGCTGACCGAGGAACAGATTGCTGGTGAGTGAACTCTACACTAAGGCCGTCTTAAACGACATCATCGGTACGCACCGACAGCAGAAGACAATCATGTGCTTATAGAAGCTTATATTGCAAAAGATTGTGCTGATAAATGGTATTATAAATATAACTCTGACCTGAAGAACATGTTTAGACGGTGTCCCACTAGCCTACTCCAAGCAACTTGATTAAAGTCCCCGTGAACCGGAAGTTGCAAACGACTTTTCTCCAGTGTTGTGACTGATTTTCGAGAGAAACGGAATACTAAATGAGGCAAAATAGTGGGCGTGGCTTTTCCCCAACTAGCACCTGATTGGATCTAGAAAAATGGGCGTTTCATTCTGAAATGGAGGATGACGCAAGTTTACACACGCTGTCAATCAATGCTCGCTCGGCGCTCGCAAACACACAGCAGCTGTCAGTTGGAGGGGCGTGGTTATGGATACGTCATCAGGCAAGGTCCTCCAATGCAGAGGGGAGGGGCATTTTCAAAATTTGATTAAAGATTACAAAGCCAAATTTTTTTTGTGTGTGGATTGACTTGCATGTATGAATTGTTCACCACAAAACAATCAATTTAGGCAAACAAAGTAAGTATGGTCAATTTTGATTTCATGGGGACTTTAAGAATGGAAGAGGGTTGACAGACTAATTCACTGCCCTTGATTTTTCTTGAGATTAATTTTCAAGTAATATCAGCTGAACAAACGTGTCTTGTGCAATTATTTTCGATCAGGGACCCACTAAGGGGGCCGCAAGATGGCTTAAAATTAGTTAACAAATATTAAATAAGCTAAATCATAGAAATTGGCTAAAAAGATGAACTGACAAGCTGTTTATTTCAATTTATTCCCTTTAGCAACGTTATTTTTATTTCAAACCAGGGTTTCCTCGCACTTGGGAAAACCTGGAGATATAAGGGAATCATTTCTAGACCTGAAAAAAGTCATGATGTTAAGTCTAAGATGTTAAGTCATGAGAAATTATGTATAATTTTCATAAGTTGTCAAGCTCTGAAATATGTTGGGTATAAATTGTTGAAGTTGCTATTTGCGAGTAAAAAATATTTTAAAAAAGTCTCCCGAAACAACTGGGAAAATCATGTAAATTTACTAGTCATATAAATAAGATAAAACCACAAGTTCTTGAAACTTCTGCAATTATTTAATTTAATAATTTGAATATTATACTTTTTGTTAATAATACAAAAGGTTAAAAACAAGCATCTTTGTCATTACATTAGAAATATGCTGACCTTACAGAATAGACTCTACACTCCTCTAATGTTCATATGTTTAATAGTGTGTAATTTGCAGCTTTAAAGGATTAGTTCACTTTTGAAAAAACTTTTGCTGATAATTTACTCACCCCCATGTCATCCAAAATGTCCATGTCTTTCTTTCCTCAGTCGAAAAGAAATTAAGGTTTTTGATGAAAACATTACAGGATTTTTCTCCTTATAATGGACTTCAATGGGAACCAGGTCCAACCGCGGTCCAAACGACAGTTAATAACAGTTTTAGATGCAGCTTCAAATGTCTTTAAACGATATCAGACGATGAATAAGGGTCTTATCATGCGAAACGATCGGTTATTTCAAAGCTTATTCCAAAAATGTAACTTTTCTAAGGACAAATGCTAGCCTTTCTCCATTCTGTGAGGCGCGTTTGCAACGTCACGTAATACGTAATTACGTTCAAAAGGTCACGGGCGACATAGCCGAAAGTACAGAGTCAGAGTGTTTACAAGTTGAACGCATAGGTTGAACGTGAAAACTAGCTCAAACGCCGTTTACAAAAAAGGAATTAAAAGGTAAAACAACGATGTCGGACGATTTTGATTCTGTACTTCCGGCTACGTCGCCCGTGACCTTTTGAACGTAATTACGTATTACGTGACGTTGCAAACGCGCCTCACAATATATTACAAGGCTAGCATTTGTCCTTTGGACCTCGGTTGGACCTGGTTCCCATTGAAGTCCATTATAAGGAGAAAAATCCTGTAATGTTTTCATCAAAAACCTTAATTTCTTTTCGACTGAGGAAAGAAAGACATGGACATCTTGGATGACATGGGGGTGAGTAAATTATCAGCAAAAGTTTTTTTCAAAAGTGAACTAATCCTTTAAAGCTGTAACTGTGCAAAAGTCGTAAGCCGTAACTATGAGGATAAGTGGTAAATTATGTTCTGATTGACACTTGACCATGCTACTTTCACTCTTTGCAGTATACTGTTGGTAGAATGCAAATTTTCTTTATGCAAGGAGTGCCAAGATGACCTACTTGCCAAAGTGTGCAAAGAGGGTTAGACTTCAAAAATAAAGCTCCTTTGTCATCGCAGTGTACATGCACTGTACTTACATGTCTGTAATTCAAAACAGAGTTCAAGGAGGCGTTCTCACTCTTCGACAAAGATGGCGATGGCACCATTACCACCAAAGAGTTGGGCACAGTCATGCGCTCACTGGGTCAGAACCCCACTGAGGCTGAGCTCCAGGATATGATCAACGAGGTCGACGCTGATGGTAAGACCAGGAATGCTTTTGTAACATTCATAGTTTGATAGGATAAGTGTCTTATGTTAGTCCATTAAAGTTATGTGGCTTCTTGTGTAGCAGATCCTGTTCATCTACATACATTTACAATACAATACCCTCTCAGATCAAGGGTCTCCAATCCGGCTCCTGGAGGGCCACATTCCTGCAGAGTTCAGCTCCAATCCTAATCAAACTCTGAACCAGGGATTATTAGAAACTTCCAGGCCAGTGTGTTGGAGATAAACTCTGCAGGATGTTGGACATCCAGGAGCAGTATTGAACACCCCTGTCCTAGATCAAGCAGGTATTGGGTGTTTTTCTCATGAGGGAAGAGTAGTATTGACAAGGGTCGTCATTTTACTCACATGGACTCATCATCACTTAATCACACGCATCAAGGCTGCGTTTAATGTCAGTTTTGGACATGCACTCGCAAACTTCCTTAATGGCTCGTTTCCACTGAGCGGTACAGTACGCAATTATTTGCGTTTCCACTGTCCAAAAGCCGAACCGTACCGTAACACTTTGGGGTACCTAACACAGTGGTACGGTACTAAAAGGTGGCGCTAGACTCACTGCAGAACGTTGATTGGTTGACAGAGTATCGACACTTGTGCTACAAGGGCATTAGAAGCGCAATTTTTTTAATATACTTTTTTTTAATATACAGTTAAAATAATACCACAGTTATTGTGTCACGAAATGTAGTTTTAAGAGTTTTTCAGGCGAGAATGTAGTTTTTTAAAGCTCAAATCTGTGGTTTATTTATATATTTATGATCATTTGATTGAGATCCATTCCAAGTAATCGCCGGACGCTCTGCGCTCGTGTCCCCCGCCTGGAACAGCCTTTCCTCTGCAAGTCGTTCTGATGTTTGCCGCTGACTCTGACATCTCTGTGGTTAAACATGAGATATAATTCGTCTTGTATAAACCTAACAGGTGATCTATAGTCTTGTGAATCTATAATTTGTTCCCTGGCCAATAGTTTTGGCAGAAGGCTAAGTGAAGTTTCATATATTTGAGTGCTAAATTTTTTATATTTGACTGAATTGTTTTCTTTATGCAATTAAAGTTTTACTGTAAAGTTTTTACTTATACTTTTAAAATGGCCATTATTAATAAAAATAGGGATATAGGGTTGAGTTTTGTCATTTTTTTACATTTTATTACAAGATCATCTGCAATGTTGTTATTGCAACATTTGTACCAATACACATATTGCCTGGAATATGTATAATATTTTTAAATTTAAACGAAAAGAGGCAGGGTTGTGTTTTATATTTAGTTTTGTTATAAATATATGCTATGCATTGCCTGAACAACATTTGTGTGCTTATAATGTTTAAAATGTATTTGTAAAATGTACAAATGAAATCGAAAAGAAGCAGAGTGGTGTTTTATAACATGCTTTATTGTTTTGTTGAACGTGCTGTCCCATTAGCACTATTACATGACTCGCGTCCCCCTTGAGTCAGACTTTTGCGTTGGCTACTTGGTATTGAGAAACGCCTAATGCCGCCGCTTGTTTCTTGTTCAAACATGCCGAGAAGCACGAACAAGATCTGCTGTATGTCAAACATTGTTTTTTATTATGTTGCTTTCTTCTTCGTGCGAAAATGACGTCGTTCGCTTCTTTCCGGCAAACACCACGCGTATCAAGTAAGGGTACTGTTGGCGGTGGAAACGCAAGCCGGATCATGGTTTACCGATACTCGGTAACGAGCCCTAAGTGCTTCCATAAGGGTCATTGATTATGTCGTCTTGCCGTTCTAGCTAGTTTAGTACAGTAGTTGTCAGGCCAAACTTTGCAAAGTTCATGGCATTGAAACTTTGATATTGAAGAGTATTGCCTGAAGCAGATGCACTGGTGCAAGGATATGAAGATAATCGTTTGTTTTTCTTTTCGTTTAATCTTGTGGTAAATTGCTACAACATGGTACTGTCTGTCCACAGGCAACGGAACTATAGACTTCCCAGAGTTCCTAACCATGATGGCGAGGAAAATGAAGGACACGGACAGTGAAGAGGAAATCCGAGAAGCTTTCAGAGTCTTCGACAAGGTATGGAAACGTCACCATTAACAGCTGCCATGAAGTTGAAACCAGATTAAGCACTGAACCGATTCATAAACAGTAATCATTAGGAATCTTAATGAGTGTACAAGGAAGATACTTTTAGAGCACAAGAATGTGCCATTGTTATGTAACTTCAGGTTTAAGCATACAAGGCTTTCCTAAAAACGACAAGTCATCCAATCATCCAGGAAAACTGTGAAAGCTGCTAGTGTATTAAGTGTTATGTAAGGACTGTGCAGGTGTGTTTTCCAGACAGTGGATTAGATTATTCACCATGTGGGCTCGGGCTGCTTCAGGCTGTTGGCGTAAGAGCGTGCTTCAAACGGCTTCAGTTTCGTTTGGGTTCTCTTGATTGCTTCACCTCTTGCTTTGATCTACAGATGGACATTTTGTAGTCGGATACTTAAACACAAAATCAAATAAAGTAAATTAAAAAACCCTTTTAAAATCCATTAAACCCATTTTAATGTGGCTTAAGTTTTAAGTTGTGGTGTAGACTGTAAAACCGGGGTTTTTGCCTTGCGACGTCAGAGTGTGCTGCGCCAACTGGAACCTGTAATAACTTTTTGTTAGGCTTCTGATTGGCCAACATTGCTTTACAGTTAGGGTTATATCGCCGCCTGCTGGTGTGGCATGCTCTTGACAGCGCTTGATAGCGTGTTTTTGCTTTTTCATGTGGACGGGATTTTTTTTTTTTACCGCTGGTGGAAAAACTATGGTTATAAAAATACCTGTGTCCATGTGGACAAGGCCTGAGATGGCGTTTTATGAACGAAATCAAAGCTTTTTGAAAACGCTTTCCAAAGTGAATAAATTTGAAAATGTCGTTTTTGCGTTACTTAAACAGAGGTACTTGAAAATTATGACGCATGTTTAGTCATGTGACGGATATTGTGCCGATAGATATTAATGTTTATTCCGATATTGTGCCCGTTCGGTATTGTGCTATTCACTTTCACACAGTTTGGTAAAATATGTTACTTTGCGCTAGGGTTTAGTCATGCGCAGTAAGGTGAATTTAGCGTTTTCCGACATATTTGTGTGGATGAGAAACTTTTGGAAAACTCCTAACTCAACTCAAATGTATCCAGATTAATGTAGACGTAGTGCTGGTAACCTACACGCATGTAAATAATTAAAGCGCATATGTATGTCTATAGTATAGTTTTTAAATGGTTTTAATATATTGTGCAGCCTTAGAAAACGTGTAATAATGCGGTTCATGGACTCTCGTCTGTGGAATGCACTGCGTACAGTTTGTTGCCGGTTATTCTACATGGGTAAAATGCAATTGAGGATTTTTTTTTTTTTTTAAATCGAGTACTTGAATTTAATTGAGGAATCGTGACCGCCCTAATTTATAGTACACCACAAAAGGGCCGGATGTGTGATGAGACATAACATTCTCTTCTCAGGATGGAAACGGCTACATCAGTGCAGCCGAGCTGCGTCACGTCATGACCAATCTGGGCGAGAAGTTGACCGACGAGGAAGTGGACGAGATGATCCGAGAGGCGGATATCGATGGAGACGGTCAAGTCAACTATGAAGGTGAGCAGCTGTGGCGCATGTTCCCAATCAATCAGGAACGTTTCATTGCGTAACCAGAATGACATTTATACAAAATGTATTTATTTAGATGGAAGGTGGTTCATGTGAATTAATGTTTTAATTAGTTTTCCAGAGAAAGTGTTTTTGTCTTGCATTCGTTCTTTACACCTGCATTGGACGTTCAACACGTAACTTCTAGAATGTGATGGTGTATTGTAATTCAGTGACAGTATATGCGTGAAAATATCTAAAAATAGGAAGGACTTGTACCTGAAAGTCTTGCATTCCAATTAATATTGCTATTTTGAATGCTTAACCTTAAATATTAAACTTCAAATGCATTTTACATTTATATATACACTTTCATTTAAAGGTTTAGGGTCAGATATTTTTTGAAATATGATGCTAAAAATTCAGCTTTGCATTACAGGAATAAATTACATTTTAAAATATGTTCACATTGAAAACAGTTATTTTAAATTGTAATAATATTTCACAATATTGTATATTTGACCAACTAAATAAATGCAGCCTTGGTGAGCAAAATAGACTTTTAACAAAAACCATAAAACATCTTGACCCCAAACTTTTGTTGTGTGTATATATATATATATATATATATATATATATATATATATATATATATATATATATGAAGAGTTCAGATGCAAAAGCCTCTAAATGCCATTTGAAATTTTCTTCTTTAATGATGATTTTTATCAAACTTGTATATTTAAGTTCAGTAATTTCACTTAAATAACAATTAATAGGTAATTATCATTGCCATTTAAGTGAAATTACTGAACTTAAATATACAAGTTTGATAAAAATCATAATTAAAGAAGAAAATTTCAAATGGCATTTAGAGGCTTTTGCATCTGAACTCTTCACATATACACTTTTATTTTTTTAATTGTGTATATTTAACCAAGTGATTACAGAAACTTTAAAATTAACTTTTCAAATAAAAAATAAAAATGAGAATAAAATGATTAGCGAAAGGTTGCTAAAATAATATACCAGCACATATTATTTCATAATAGAAACAGGAATCAGGAATCATTAGATTTCTATTATCTGTTTTTCTGTCTCTTTTCACAGAGTTTGTCCAGATGATGACTGCAAAGTGAAGGATTATCTTATCCTGTATCTCTCTTTCTCTCTTACATTGCTTGTCCTACTAAGATCACTCTGTCTTTAAAAAGAAAAAAAATCTAAAGTTTACTTCAGAGAGTATTAGAATGTCAAATTCTGTGATCTCTTACCAAAAGAGAAAAAAAAAGAAAAAACTAAATTCAGAAGCAATTTGTGAAATATACTAGCAGAATTGTCCCAGCAGAAGTGAATGGACCAAGCATAACTGCATGAGCCCTTTTGGAGCAAACGTCTCCAGACCTGACAAAAATTTCGAGGACAGAACGTCTCTTTAGTCGCACACGAGTTGAAGTCCATGCCTAGTACGGCAGCATTTAATATGCAGAGGACATCTCCTTTCATGAGTGTTCTTTCATCGCACCAAAATAGAGTAAATATATCAAAAAACTATATTAATAATGCTAAAACATTGTGGTAATTAGTCCAGGGTCACAGTGCTGCCTTCAATACAAACTGAGCGGAAACTTTTGCGTGTGACCCCTGTGGTGAAGTCATGCTTACAGTACGTGTATTGCCTTCTCCTTTTAAAGACTCGGAACGGAACGAAAACTGGATGTTTATGAAGACGTGCTCATTGTAAAAACCCGACGTCATACTCATACTCTGCGGTTTAATGGCGCCGTACGACTTGAAGCGTGTCTTTATGGGCTGTAAGGCACGTAGCCTACTTGGTTGACCGTGGTTATCGTCAGCTGGTTTAAACCTTTATTTTAATGTGGGTTTTGTCTCTGAAGACTTCAAACTTTGTGGGAGCGTGGAGATGTGAAGTATGTACAGCAGAACGTGACGGAACGACGCAAATAGCATAACTGTAAAAATATAGTTACATAGATAATCAGTGTTATGCTTTATAAATGTACTGTTCTGCGATTATTAACGTCTGGTAAACTTCGCATTGCATATTGTTATTCTAGTTAGGTCTGTGACTTTCGTTTGATTCATGGTCTTGAAATGTGCCATATTACTCGTAAGCCTCAACTTTCTTGCAAGAGATCTTGGTGTCAACTAACTATGTTATCAATCTGTGAATATACACACAAATATCTCTATATATTTGCACTTTGGTGTAGATTATACATTCAAACACAGAAGAACCAACTGCGTCTTTCTCCTGTTCTCGTGGGTTTCACACCTCTTGTTGTCAAGTGCTCCAAATTTCATTTGCGCTCTGCTTGCGAGACGACGGATAAAGGTGAAACTGTCTTGAGGGGTGGATCAACGATGTATTGAATTATGTTGCTTGCTATGGTCTCATAATTGTTTTGTTTTTTTCTTGCCAAAACATATTACTCCTGTGGAAGAGCTTTACATAGCATATCTTACTCTATTCTGGACTTGAGAGTTTCATGTTGGCTGGGTTAGAAAACGAGCGACAGGACGGGGAATACTCAACATGTGAAATCTGTATGGATAATATGTGAAATATGTATCTGTGTTTTACAATAAAAAAATAAATGTATACGTTTATGCATATACTTCTATGTTTGATGTTCTTGTCGTCATATGCAACTGTAAATCATTAGGTTTTGTCATTAGCGCCAAGCTAATCCGCTTACTCACCCGAGAGGTCTCCTGTCAAATCTGGCCTATATTTAGGTCTGACTCTGAGGATTGTGCTGGATGGAGCTGTAAATAATCTGGGGTTAAACAGGGACACGTCTCCTTTTCCCGTTTTGTATAAGATGTGCGACACCGAGTGACTTGCCCTTTTAATGATGTGCTTGTTTTGCCATGTTCACTCAGGGCATCTCAGAAGGAGGACCTTATTTGCACTTAGGCTAATTTGAAATATGTAATTGTTAAATGCATGAGTTTTAGATGTGTGTGGAACAAGTCTTGCATCATATCAAAAGCAGGTGAATCTTTCATATGACACGAGGCCTTGTGGATATTGGTGTGAATCAGTAGACTAGTGGGATGAAATTCTATTTATTTAGGAGAATAACCAAGATTCACTCATGGAAAACTTGCTAGTATTGAGATAGCCTAACTAAAAGTGGGATTTCTAGCCCTGGAAAAAGTCATGTTTGATCCATGGGTATTTTTATAACGAACACTATTTAAGCTAAGCTGTAAATATAGAGTAGATTTTGTGAGCAATAAATATATATGTTTATAAAAACCTTATCAACTGGAAGAGTCCTGATGTAAATTCATTGGTTACAATGAGCGGGAGCTCTGAAGAACATTCTACTCCTAAATGTTCTGTAATCCTTGATTTTTAATTAATAATCATTTTGATTACATTTTTAGTTTTCAAAAACTGAGCGCATGTAATAATAGTGTACCTCACTGTTGTTGGGAGTCAAAAGGTTTAGAACCAGTCACTGCACTAGATGTGATTGGGAGTGAAATACACAAGCTGGACAGAGGATGGCGCCGTTGCGTCACTATTCAATATTTTGCATTTCTGTGAACATATATATTTACTTGATAATTTATATGAGAAAATAATATTGAAATAATCTGACAGAATGAAAAATAAATATATATATATATATATATATTGTCATTCTTTCTCATTCATCAGATCTGCACTTTTCCTCCCTTTTGTCCTTCTGATTGCAAAACTTGGTGACTATCACTATAATGCCTTATACTTGGGTTTTAATACTTGTTCAAATCTTTACCATAAGTATTAAACTTTAGGAGTGTGAAAGTAGTGAATTATTACTCTGCCTTTTCACGTTTCAGATATGTTTATGCAGCCAAGATTACCTCAAGTACAACAGATAGACATTTGTATTGGCCTATTTCAAGATATGACGCAGCACGGTGTAACGTATACTCACTGTATTCCAGACACCATGGTGTTCCACACACTAGACCGTTTCCCGCCAATTCTTTAAATAAACATTTCACGGTCATTGCATCTATATACACTCGCCTAAAGGATTATTAGCAACACCTGTTCAGTTTCTCATTAATGCAATTATCTAATCAACCAATCACATGGCAGTTGCTTCAATGCATTTAGGGGTGTGGTCCTGGTCAAGAGAATCTCCTGAACTCCAAACTGAATGTCAAAACGGGAAAGAAAGGTGATTTAAGCAAGATTGAGCTTGGCATGGTTGTTGGTGCCAGACAATGCCTTGTTGATGCTAGAGGTCAGAGGAGAATGTGCCGACTGATTCAAGCTGATAGAAGAGCAACTTTGACTGAAATAACCACTCGTTACAATCGAAGCATTTGTGAAGCCACAACACGCACAACCTTGAGGCGGATGGGCTACAACAGCAGAAGACCCCACCGGGTACCACTCATCTCCACTACAAATAGCAAAAAGAGGCTACAATTTGCAAGAGCTCACCAAAATTAGACAGTTGAAGACTGGAAAAATGTTGCCTGGTCTGATGAGTATCGATTTCTGTTGAGACATTCAGATGGTAGAGTCAGGATTTGGCGTAAACAGAATGAGAACATGGATCCATCATGCCTTGTTACCACTGTGCAGGCTGGTGGTGGTGGTGTAATGGTGTGGGGGTGTTTTCTTGGCACACTTTAGGTCCCTTAGTGCCAATTGGGCATCGTTTAAATGGCCTACCTGAGGATTGTTTCTGACCATATCCATCCCTTTATGGCCATCATGTACCCTCTGATGGCTACTTCCAGCAGGATAATGAGTAGAAATTTTCAGTTGTGAAATCACATAGCTATGTCTGGCAGATAATACATTACTTGAGCAACATTAGCTAGAAAATTGCAGGTACTGGGAAACGCTAAGCTATTCATCATTCCTGGGCGTAATGGAAAAATAGCGACGACGACTGTGATGTGAATCTAAAGCACCCCCACTCTGACCTGTGGAAACAGTTTATGTTATCCACACAGTGTTGAAGCTGACGTGTATTTAAATTATTGATCCATTGGCAAATGGAGGTGAAAACCATCTGGTTTCTTTCGTCCTCTCTGTACAGTTCCCCTCCCCTCATATCATACTGTGTGTAATATTGATTGTAAACTGAGGAGCGGTTTTGGTGGCCATATGATGCTCATAATTACTCGCTCGTACGTCCAGTGACGGTGTCCAATCTCAACCCTTTTCTCACATTTACACTGCATATGTAAGGCTGTGGTATTGTTCTTAAAAATGTAGACACTTGACTTGTTTTATATTATATTATAAATGAACGTTAACCTCACTGATGCTCCCAGTCAACACCAACCAAGACATGTCATCTGACCTGGAACAATCGTTTACTATTGGAAATAATTAGTTGACCTTTCACAGATTTCAAATACTGTACACAGATATGCTAGTAAATACCAGCTGCTGTCATTGCTATTGAAATGTTAACAGAATTTGATTCATGACTCTATAAAGGCCAAACATCTGGTGTGTGGCTTAAGTGTCTCACTTCCAGTCAATCTGTTATCATAAATCCCATCTGTCGTTGGACTCATCTTTCCTTTCTTCTGAAGCATTGTGAAACACAATCAAAAGAAGACAAATATGAATAATAAAATGATAAAGAATATGAAAACGATGCTCAAGAACATTTGGCTCATTTTCATACATTTCAGCGTTGGGATCAGTGGTTTTCACATCTTTCAAAAAACAAACAAAAAAACTGCTATACTTGTGCTGAATAAATGAAATAAAAATAATAATGTAACATAGGCCTAACAACAATAATACAAAATCATTACATTAAACTATTATTACAATCTAAAGGCTCAATGTGGGAAATGTGGCCATTTGGAGCAGGACACATGACATTAGGCTATAAATAAAGAATTCGGGTCAACAAGGAGTCAAAACGATCCTATTTGCTTACAAATTCCTGGTGTTTTTGTTAATGATTCGCTTGAATTGTGCAATTGTCCCATTATTGCAACACTAATCTGACATGATTTTTTATACTTTAGAGGTTGCAGTTGTATTCGCATTATAGGCGACTCCTGGGGTGCGTTTCCCGAAAGCATCGTTAGCCAACTATGGTCGCAAGTTCCGTTGTTATCTGCATAGTTTAACGAGTCGGTGTTTCCCGAAAGCATCTTTCCAACGGCCATTCGCAAACAGCATCGCAAAGTTGTGTGGTTTGAACGACAGCTCTCGACCTGTGGAGGCATCGTTTCTGTATTATTGCATGACATTTGGAGGTAATAAATCCTTATCTTGAGCAAAATAAGCAAGCTGACATTCAGTACAACCGATGCCTTTTATTTAGAATACATAAAAATGGAATTTACTCTTTTAGTTTTTCAAAAGATTTGAAGTAACGTGTTTGAAGAGTGCGCATGTGCGAACGTGCTCTAGCCTACTATGTAAGAACGAGCCAAATATTGAGTCTGGTAATAAAGCAGAACAACTGAGAACAATTAGAAATAGTCACATGACATGTCTATAATTTATATAAAACAAATCTAGCGTTAATTGGATCTCAAACAGTTTCATTATTACTCCACCACGTGCGAAACCAACGTGGTTGAACGATACTTTGCGACAGTGCGTTTCGGGAAACAGTCGTGACTAGCTAGTTGATTTTTCCAACGATGCATTATGGTAGTGAAACAGTGAACTACAGGTACGTCGTTGTACGGGAAAGCACCCCTGGGCTGCAATTTCCCAGAATCATGAGAACAGGGCCATCACTAGTGAACAGTGATGACATTTCTAGGGGCCCCCGGCCTTAGAGGGGCCTGTGATTTCTACCTAGGGTGACCCACAACAACACACACACCAGGATTTTATCCAAGGATCTAAACATCCATCTGTCGCTTTGAAGTCCTGCCTTCATGGCAGATGCTTTTTACACTAGTTCAGCTCACCATTATCTGAATGAAATAAATTACAACAATCGAAATCCTGCTGACAACAAATTAAGTGGCGTGAGCTTTTGACAAGACCGACCCGAGTTTGAATACACCTTTTTACCAAACTTCTCTCCTTTCCCAAACTTCTTTTCCAGTCACATATCAGATCAAGTGTATGCGTAAGTGCTCTGCGAAGTACGTCAAATGTTTCTATTTACAGAATGTTTTTGCAGCATTTAGCTTTGTATCCAATCACAGACATTTCTGTTGAGTGTGTGCCAATCAGATGTTTCATTTAATCAGAATCCACTCAAAACGCCGGAACTTTAGTTTGGCGTGAGTGCTACACAGCTTTACTGATTATAACAGGAGTTAGTTGACTAGTTTTAGAATTGTGTATAATTTTGTTCTTGAGGTTGGTGGGGTTAGCCTACTAAGTGACTATAATGCCAAATTAGTGTGATTTAATACAACAGCTTTCAAGCTAGCTGTAATGTGAATGCATCTTTCACAAAGATCAATAAATCACTGATCCTGAAATTATCACATGCTTAGATTAGTATTCCAAATAGCGCTCATTAAGTATAATTGGATGTTTTCTGCTGCCAAGACTCACTTTGTCTGAATCTTTCAGGTGTAAGGACATGGACATTACTGCTTTTAAAATGTTTAGCATTGTCAGGTTTGGCCTGAAAGTTCAATTCTTGATTACATAGTGTTATATTTCTTAACTTCCATGACTAATTCATTGCTAGTTTAATTGCTAGCGCTTAATGAAACCCGAGCTGCTCCTTCTAACGACAGGCCGTCACAGCCTGTCTATTCATTACTTCAGTACAGAGAGGGACGGTAAATGCAGGACAGCAGCCCATATCTCACTTTATACATCCACTGAAGCATTGCAGCATTTTCACAGAGCAAACACACATAAGCTCTCATAAACACACAATGCCAACATGCCTTTGATGCTCGTTCCACCATTATATATGTATGTATATCTATATACACTCACATAAAGGATTATTATCATTTTTTTTATATATATAAACAATCATATCTTCAATATCTTTGCCTTGCTATTTGAAAAATTTTAGGCCAATAATGTAAGATCAGGTTTATTGGGACATTTCAATATTTTTCAGCATTCTTGTGATATGAAAACAGAAAAGTGTGTGTATTAGAGGTCATGTATATTTCTTTATAAACCTAAAAAAAATGTGCACCACTCTGTTTATATATAAATATATAATGTTATACTGATTATCCCAATAACAGCCTGAAGAAACCGACAAAGACAAATGTTTGCTTGGACAGGGTGTTGTGTTCTTTACTAAGTGTCCATTGTTTCTAGCATGAGTCAACACTGACTGCATGAACAAACCCAATGCAAAGAAACATAAATACACAAAATATCACATCATTACAGAGCATCAGATTCCCATCATGCATGCAGACACTGCAAGCTTTTAGCGAACATAGTAGACGTGCATTTACACTATACTGGCTATACAAGAGCATCCTTATCCTCCTAAACATTATACACACTTAGAGGGTCAATCTCAGGAAAAAATGTGCTCATTTGACAAGATACTGAATTTATTCACATTATTTGTTAGGTTTAGTCTAATTCAAACATGTTTATAATTAATCAATTCTACAATGAAATTATTTTAATTCAGACAATTTGAACGTTCCCATTCAACACCATTAGTTTTTATAGAAAAAAACAAAACAAATTTAAGCTATTTTAAAACGCTTTCACTATATGTACTGTAGTTTTGCTAAATTATTTGCATTTTCTGAGAATAATTTCTGATTTGTCTTTCTTCCTGTTCAACCCTGTTACGCTGCAATATATCCCTTTAAAAAACCCAAGTGATTATAGTTGAACTGTTCCTGGATGAAAATATGACTCTTGGCATAAAGCATTGCAAATAATGTGCTGTTGTACAATGATATTTGCTTGCTAAGCTAAGGCTATTATTAACCATTTTAACTATGTACCAGGGCTGAAACAAAATAATAACCATGGGTTATTATATTTTTCTTCAGTGTAATGTATAATTTATTTAAAGCCACCACAAATCTGCGGTATATTGCCAGAATATGGAATAGTAATTTTTGAAATTATATAAAAAAAAAATTACACTTTTTAACAGGGTTGAAAAAGTAGCACTTTAGGGTAAGGCTAAGGGCAAGTAATTATAAATAATATAAGTTATCCCACTTAACCCTAAAACCATATTCTGGACAAATGTGGGCAAAATAGCTTTGATTTATTTAAAAAAAATACTTCCATTGATCTGAGCGGTACAAGACTTGGCTACTTTTCCTAAGTTTGCCTCCTGAACACACACATTTTTTTTTACTCAATTCTACATCTTAATCTTGTATTTGGCTCAAAAATGGGCACCCATAGAAATGAATGGGAAAAACTGTAATTTAGAGCCTTCTAAAATAAGCCAAAATAAGACACCAGGTGACAGCAAAGTCACTTCATCTTTAGGTTTTAGCTCTAAGAACTTATTGGAATGAAATTTAATGTAGTTAAAGAAAAAAAAACGTAAAAATAAGCATAATTTACATAGAAAATATGGTACTTTTTGAAGTAAATAAATTCAAAAATACTCCCAAATAAAATAAAAAACACCATAAATGGATAGACAAAACTTTATCGAAGACATAAATATAACATTTATAATAAATAAAAATTAGGATCACACCTGAGTCCTCTGTGCTCACATTTGTCCACAATTACAGGATTAAGGGCTATAAAGTGAATATGGTTTGAGGGCTACATTGGCCCCCAATATCTATTGGGGTTACTACCTGAAGGCCTTGAGGTGGTAGAGTTCTGCAGTAACCTCAAATATTTCCTGACAGTGACCCTGTAAAGCATATAATGAAACTGCTGTCTAGCCCAATATCAAGTCTTTAACTGCAGATTACTTCAAACACAGTCTATAAATGCTTCTTTACAATGACCAATATGTATGGTATTAAGTATTATAAATGTATTTTTAAGACAGACATCCATGTTTTTGAATGAAACATTTAAGGTGATATCAGTAGCTTCGAGAAAGCAGACATGCATTGTGTAATTGTTTGAACTTTCCACATACATGTATATGTTCAAATGTATTTGCACTACACAGGAAGCCTTTCCTCTAACACCTTGTACTATCTAGACGATGTGCTAAAGCAAAGAGATCAAATCTCTTCCACGTAAAGTTGGTTTTACCCAACCCTGATCGATTGGTTTCAGTTTTGGCAGCCGTACACGGTGCATTCTCGCCTGGACAGAACGCAGCTCAAATGGCTTTCATTTTTTTATTATTTACATTAAAGGAGTAGTTCACTTTTAAAAAAACTTTTGCTGATAATTTACTGACCCCCATGTCATCCAAGATGTCCATGTCTTTCTTTCTTCAGTTGAAAAGAAATTAAGGTTTTTGATGAAAACATTCCAGGATTTTTCTCCATATAATGCACTTTACTGGGACCCAAACGGTTCAAGGTCCAAAAGACAGTTTCGGTGCATCTTCAAAGGGCTTTAAACGACACCAGACGATGAATAAGGGTCTTATCAAGCGAAACGATGGCTCATTAAAAAAAATAAAAAAAATAACAAAGTTTAAGTTTTATAAGCTCAAATGGTCACCTTGCTCTGTTCTGTGATGCGCGTTTGTGACTCTCCTGTTCAAACTCGTTCATCAAAACGAACGAATCTTTTTCCGAGTTAATTTGTTCATTTCATTCGTTGAATCAACCAAATGACACAAAAAAGATTTGTTCATTTTGATGAACGAGTTCGAATAAGAGAGTCACGAACGCGCATCACAGAACAGAGTAAGGCGAGCATTTGAGCTTATAAAACGTAAACTTTGTTATTATTATTATTTTTTTAAATGAGCGATCGTTTCGCTTGATAAGACCCTTATTCATTGTCTTGAATCGTTTAAAGCCCTTTGAACAGTTTGCATTTTGCACTGAAACTGTCTTTTGGACCTTGAACCGTTTGGTTCCCATTGAAGTCCATTATATAGAAAAAAATCCTGGAATGTTTTCATCAAAAACCTTAATTTCTTTTCGACTGAGGAAAGAAAGACATGGACATCTTGGATGACATGGGGGTGAGTAAATTATCAGCAAAAGTTTTTTTTAAAAGTGAACTACTAGGCTACTTTAAGTTATTATTACAGTTCAATTAAACCATCCATTCTTATTTACCACCATGAGAGTGAAATGTAATTTTTAATTTTTTCACAAAAATGCACATTTCTACAACACATCAATCACTAAAAAGCTATTTAGGTATTATAACGTTAACTATGAGTTCGTACTAAATGGTCTTCTCAAAAGTGAAATTGTTAACCTGTTATGTGACCCTTCCTGGTTAGGGTTCTGACATTTTTGAAAGTGTACATTTCTAAACCATCGGCTAATGAGCTCGTCTGAATAAAAATAAATTAATAATAAAGAATAAAGTGTTTAATAACTTCTGTGGAAATAGTTTTACGACTTTAGTTAATGGGATTGCTTTAACTGATCACCTCAGATTCTGAATTCAAGCCAAGGAAACTGTACAAACATGTAACTGTACAAAGCGCATTCATATTTAATGAGACAAACTCTTGTTAGTTTATGACTGGTTATCTGCTGCTAAACAACTTCCTGTAACATTCTAGTCACACTGTACATCTTTAACACTGCAGTTTCCGTGTGTCGATTTCAAAAGGTTAAAATGTTCCATGGTTGGTGATAATTGGTAAACGAAAGCATAAGTGAACTGTCTGTTTTCTACATGAGTTTTGTGGTAAGTGCCAGTTCCCCAAATGAACACTGGTTATTTGTGCCTTCACATTCTGTTCATTTGTCAACATCTCTGTCACCCAAATTCTGTGGTCCACCATATGAACGGAAGAGCCTGTTTAGCGATGGCCATTAGTCCACATATTAACAAAATTCTTCCTTCCATCATAAAACGTCATCCATTTTGACAGGTCCTCTGATGTCAAAGCTTATACATATGGTTCTAGTACCGGTCAGACTTTCCAGGCTTCCAAGTCTCATGGTCATGATATATCTCAGTGCACAGTCATATACACAGTGTCGTTCATCAAGACCTCACTGAGGGAGAGTGCAGTAGATCTGGCTCTTGATGCTGGAGCTTTTTTTGACGTTTCCAGCCTCCAGGGGGAAGGACAGAGAGCTTTGAGCTGTGGTCTTCACCACATCCCTGGGGAAGCAGCAGTGCAAGAATTCCCGGATGTGGTTAAAGACCGCCTTACGGAAGATGATGAAGATCCAGGGATCCAAGATGGGGTTAAATGCAGAGAAACGGAAAGCCATTAGATTCTGTTGATCGTTCCCAACCGGACTAATAGCGTTCACAAAGCCACAGATCTGAGTAGGGGTGAGAGAGAGAGATGGAGGGAGGGAGATTAGAACAGTAGGGGATAAACAAAACACTCGCAAGACCTCCTTTCTAGGGTTGCCAACAGTCACATATTATACAAGAACATAATTGCATCCAGTATTACATGCAATCGTGCCTTGCACCCAAACAGCTGAGAACACTTTAGCATTTAATTGAAACCCCAATGTCAAAGATTAAAATGACAGATCAGAATGGAAAACAAATTGTGATTGCTGGATTTATAAAATGAGTGCCAAGTCTAATTTTTAGATATAATGAATGCTCTAAAAAATGCTGGGTTGTTTTAATCCAATTTTGGGTCAAATATGGACAAACCCAATTGTTGGATAAAAAAAAAAATGCAATTTATAAATTTAACCCAACAGCTGGGTTTGTCCATATTTGACCCAAAATTGGGTTAAAATAACCCAGCATTTTTTAGAGTGAAGTGTCAAATCTGTTAGGAATCAAATCGCTTTTAAATGTGCCATAGAAATAAGTCATGTCACAGGACAATTCATTACAATATACGTATTGACTTGATTCTTAATACGTTTAAAAAAGACTTCTATCCATTATGTTGTTTTTGTAATCTTGGCTCTGAAACTCTATTACATTTATTTTGTAATTGTAAATATTCTGAAGACTTCTGGAAGCAAGTTTCTATGATGTTTTTTGTATACATTCTACAAAATAATCAGAATAGATGAGGCAATGATCATCTTCTTAGATTGTAATACTGGCTCAGACATAATTGATGACACTTTAAAGTTAATAATTCTTCTTGGGAAATTTCAAATTCATAAAGCCAAAGTAATGTCTATAAAACCCTCTTTTAATTTATTTTGTAAAGATGTTAAAATATTCCATGACTCTGTGAATTCAACTACTAGAAATAAGAAGTGCATAAAAACATCTCAAATTTTGGAAAAAATAGTTTGTAAAATGTAATGTTTTACTCTGTACAATGTAATATCTGTTATGTGTTTTACCCATTATGTGTTTGTCTTATTTTTGTTGTAAAATGTCATTATAAGCTTTTGTAAAACTTGAAAAAACAAAAAACGTATTGACTTGATTTACAGTCACAATTCTCTAGTATTATATAATTTGCCTATTAATGAAAGCCATACACTATAAAAAATGCTGGGTTATTTCAACCCAAAGTTGGGTCAAATATGGACAAACACAAATGTTGGGTTAAATATGTAATAAAAAAATGTTCAGTTGAAAGTAAAAGTTGAAGTTGGGTTAAAATTGTAAATTACATTTTTAACCCAACATTTGGGTTTGTCCATATTTTACCCAATTTTGGGTTAAAACAACCCAGCATTGTTTAGAGTGTAATGGTGTTTGACAAAATTCACCAAATGAAGTTGTGCCAATTCGGTAACACTTTACTTGAAGGGGTGTGCATAAGACTGACATGACCCCTTCATAACCATGAAATGACATAAGTCTTGAATATGAAGTGGGTTTATCCATACTCTAAACAATGCTGGGTTGTTTGAAACCAAATTTGGGTAAAATATGGACAAACCAAAATGTTGGGTTAAAAATGCAATTGAAAAATTTACAGTTGAAAGTTGAAGTTAAAAATTTGAAATTACATTTTTAACCCAACATCTGGGTTTGACCATGTTTGACCCAAATTTGGGTTCAAACAACCCAGCATTGTTTAGAGTGCATGTTTATGACAACTGTCATTAAGTGTCTTTCACTCAATAATGACATTTTGAATGCAAATATGACATTGTTTAAGATGTCTTTGTTATGACTTTTAACAAATTTTAATATTATTTTATTAAATATTTTATTTTATTTGTTAAATTCTCATGTGGTTGGTTTTGACATTGGCTGTCATGAGGCCATTATAACTGTCATGAATATTTTTCGTGACCTGACAGTTTAATGTAATGTTAACCAATAAGGTGGTTTCTTAAGTTTGATAACTTGATAATTAAATTGATAACTATGTCATGTTTATGACAGGTTGTGTTGTCTTAGTAATGTCAAGTTGTCATGATAAAGACACTGACATGTTATGATGTATTGGTTTATGTCAAGGTGTCATAACAAAGACATCTCAAACAATGTCATGTTTGCATTAAAAATGTCATAATTGAGGGAAAGACACTTACTGTAAACATGACATATGTTATCAATCTGAAGGAGGTTTTATGCATGTCATGATTATGAAGGTGTCATGTTAGTCTTATGCACACCCCTTCAAGTAAAGTGTTACCCATCTTTATTTTTGTGTGGTCAATCGTCACCTGTCGCCAGTCATTTCTTTCCATTTCAAATGGTTTATGTGATATGGGGAAATGGAGTGTCCCTTATTTTCCCCAGCTTAAGTTGGCAATATTGGTAGTCTACAAATTATTTTGTATTAAAAAAACACACACACAATAACAGCACTCTGTATAATAATAACCATATGATTTCAGGGAGTAGATGTTGAAAACAAGACAAAGGAAAGTTTTTTTCTAGCGTAGTTTCTGTAGTCTGGAACTGTCAAAAGGACATGATTTCAAGACAAAACAAGTTTTCATTGAAGCCGCAACATCCCTGCATAATGTCCTTCTCTGAATGACTGTGTTATTCTCAGTTCCATATTTCCCGCAATAAATATTTAACATTTTTTCTGGAAATACACGACTGCCGGCATGTTTGTTTCTGTGTTGCAAGCGTTTGTAATAAGTAAATCTCAATCTGACACTATGGCTGTAGATGAGAGGAAAACACAGCAGATGGAGAGCGTCCCATCCCACTGTTCTCAAGAGAGCTCCGATTCCCACAATCTTACCAGATATTCATTTAATTGCCGCGTAGGATGTAAAAAAAAAAAAGAAAAACGTCAGTCAGATGCTAAATGGTAGTCGTTTACCTTTTTGGCACAGAACTTGTTTTTTTTACATCCAAAGCTTGTGAAAGTGATCCATTTCCTGTTTTTCATTAAAAAAAGGAAGATCACGGCACGTTTCGGATTCTGACATCTTGTTCTTTAATCAAATTTGTACTTTTACAAATCTCAAATTTACATATAAAAGTCCAACTCTTCTAATAAAGACACCATCTCTGCAAGCACAACATTCATGATGCTGGAAATAGAAAAGAAAGTTACTGTTAATTCAGATTACCCCAGACTACCATTCATTATGAAAATATCAAGATTTAAATTCATATGGCTAAATAAACTTATCTCCTGAAACTAATACTGAAAGAATATTAATTACACTGTTAACTGCAATATATGGGTAACACTTTACAATAAGGTTTCATGCTTTAGTTAACAAGAGTGAACAATATTTTCTACAGTATTTATTAATCTTAGATTGTTGATTTCAGCATTTATTAGTACATTATTCAAATCAAAAGTTGTATTTCTCAGCCAATGCACTGTGAATTAACATGAACAAAATTACTGTATTTTTATTAACAAAGGTTAATCAATACTGTGACAAATGTATTGCTCATTGTAAGTTCATATCAGTTAATACTTTAATGTTAACAAATGAGACCTTATTGTAACTCAATTAGCCTACTTCAATATTAAATTAAAGATCTATTGATTTATGGAAAATAAAAGTGCTAATTAGTCTAGTATTGCTTTATTCACTTTCTGTGTATAATTTATTTCGAATTTTTCAACTCTGCCTTAGGAGTTTATTAACATTTGTCCAGTGAATGTTGTTCATTAGAACTAGACCTATAGACATTTTCATCAGCTTAAAGGTTGTGAACATTAGTGGGCGCTATGTGGGTGGTTGTTTTTATTTTTTTCTGTCATTTGGCCAAAATCTCACATTAAAATGAAGCGCTACACACAGGCTATTTTTGCTGTTACGACGCAAGATCTGTAAAAAATAACCGTGATTTTAACGGTAAAAATGCTACAGTGCAAAACTGTTAACTGGTTAAAAGAAAGTTTCCGCACTATATACGGTAAATAACTGTGATAGATCTCATTTGTACATTTGTAATTTTACAGTAAAATACCGTTAAATTTACAGTTTTTGAAAGTGAAAAAAAAAAAACTTTTTACAGTGAAAAAACGTAAATTGACATTCCCACAATTCCCTGTGTGACACTTAACATTTTATGTATTTTTGTTGAAATAACTTGGTTCCTCATAGTTTTCTTGTTGTTTTTTTTTCAATCAGTTATGTACATTAGGGTTTTATGTGACATTTTATTAATTTTTTTATTTCATGTGTATTACCATGATGGTGTTTAATGTTTGTGTGAATGACACCGTGTAGTTTCTATAAGAGTACTTGTGAATCATGTGACTTTCATTTCTGCTGTGATGATTGTTGGTTGTCAGTGTATTACTATAGTACAAAACGGATATCAATTCTTCAGTCCGTTGGTAAATTAACAATATATCAAATTAAAATACAGTTTATTACTGTAAATTTTAAGTTAAGTCTGTAAAAACAATAACGTTGCTACCGTATTTTTGACAGTAAAGTTCTGGCAACCACAGCTGACGTTTTTTTACCGTAAAAATGAAAGTTTTATTTTTTACAGGATAGCCTAAATAATAATAATAATAATACATTTTATTTCAGGGCGCCTTTCAAGACACCCAAGGACGCCTTACAGAGAAAAGTTAAAACAGAACATTAAAACTAGCCAAAAATAATATCAATATAAAATCAAGTTGGTACAATCAAAAAATAAAATAAAGTCTCAATGAAAATCTAAGTAGAATAAGCTAGTCTGAACAGATGAGTTTTAAGTTGAGATTTGAATTGAGGAAGAGAGTCTATTTGACGGATGTGAAATGGGAGAGAATTCCACAGACGTGGTGCAGAACGGCTAAAGGCTCTAGCCCCCATGGTGCTCATTCTGAATGTTGGAACAGATAAAATACCAGCAGTGGAGGAGCGAAGTGTTCGAGGAGGATTGTATGGAAGAAGCAGATCAGAGAGGTATGAAGGGGCCAGATCATGGAGAGCTTTGAAGGTTAACAGAAGAA